GGTCGATGCCGATTCAGAGTCACGGAGAACCTAACGGGTAACCGGGGCTCCGGCTCGACGTGCAGGAGAAGAAACGGGGTGATTTTTAGTCAGTAAGAGTCTGACACTCTTTCCCGTCTCACCCAGGCGGGAGCAGTCATTTGATGATTTTCCACCCTTAAAAAAAATGCATCGAGTAGTACCTTGCACTGCACTGCTCAATATACACACAATGAAAGAATTTTGATTTGCATTGTCACCTCCGATGAAAAATGAAATCTGTGTGATAACCACACGCGTTCAGCATGTTGGTTGAATCCTAGTTCAGCACCTAAACAATGCCCTAAACGAAAACTTACCCCTAGAAAAGTGATGGTCACTGATGGTCTAGCGCTCGCGCTATTCTGATTCATCACAAATTCTTACCAAACGGAGTGAGCATTACTACGGATGTGTAGTGTGAAGAACTGAACACAATGATGGAGAAGCTGACACATCTCCAACCAGCATGGTCAATCGCTAATCTCCATTGCTCCTGCATTACAACGCGCGACCTAAAGCTGCACAAGAGACGGCCTCCACGTTACAAGAACTGGGGTTGTGAAGCTCTCCGACATCCACCCTACTCACCAGTCACCAGACTACTTCTTTTTCCAGAATTTGGATAACTTCTTGGCGGGAAAAAATTTAATAACCGAGAGGCAGTACAAAATGCATTTGAAGAATTTGTTGCTACCCGTCCAGCTGATTGAAGAAGGGCATCAATAAACTGCCACTGCGTTGGCAACGATGCATTGATTGCATGGGTGATTACGTTGATTATACTAATAAAAAATACATGAAAAAATCGTTTAAATTTTTTCATACAAAACGGCAATTTCAGCAAATGACCCATTAATTTAATTGATTTTGCTGAAATATAATCGATATTCCTATTGAAACTGTAATTATTACTCTAAATAAATACTTTGATATTGTTTTGTGTTTATTTATTCAATGTAAGCATCTGAGATTTTCGGTGATTGCGATATATCCAGGTTGTTTTATCAGCCATTAATCGCCTTAGATGTAAATAAACATAAACATTAAACGTTATAATTTCAATGTTATATGTCACATAAGTAAATTAGCCTGTCACTCATTTTAGTCTGAATTGGTAGTTAAGATAAATAGCTTGCTTCTATTAATTTTGGGTTTCGTCACTTCATATTTTTTAGCTTACTCTGTAAATAGAGTGCATTGTCGCTTAATTTTTTTTCCTTGTAGCCAATTGTAGTTATGAAGTCACTTAAATCATTTTTCCTGACTCTAAAAAAGGGCAGATTGTATTAAGCGACATTTATCTTTGTAATTAAAGGTCCGCTTTATTTAGAATTAGCATCAGCAACTAGATTATTTAATTTAAATTTCAATGCAATTTACCCCGTTCAAATAACTGCAGAAGCGTTTTTGTTACGAATTTTTTTTCGAAATTTCAAACTTTAAAAGGCTCTCCTGTAAAGTTGCAAAAATGTCGCTTAAACCAAATAGCCCGTTACCCCTCGATATATATTCGGAATCAGCGAATTTTTCTCCGTCGAATGATGCCGGTTTCATTAAAATCGGAGCACTTTTTTGGCGTTTCAAACAATTCTATTTTCATGTTGTTTCCAAAGTGGCAGTGTATTAAACGACATGGATTTCGCATTTTTTATTAAATTATATACTTGAACCATACCATCATATTAATAACCGAGACATAAACCAGTCACCCTATCTCTAATTATTAAGTCAATATGAGTTAAAGCATTTTTCTTGTTTCTAATTTTTATTAACAAGTAACTTGAAACATTTTGACTTCCCACTAATCACACGGTGTGATGTCGCTTAAAACATTTGTCCGTCATCCAAATGCATCATGGTACGTCTCTTAAACATTTCTAGCTGCCTCTATTTTCTACGCAGGGTGCTACTTAAACCAAATAGTTGTTTTCGTTCAGATATTTTGTTTAGTCATAAACCATTTAACCCTCATTTTTTTTTAAATGCATGTCGTTTTATACAGACGATAACATTGATAATGAATATTGAAACATTTTTCCAGTATTCATAGAAATACGAGTCGGTCTTTCAATCACTAAGTTTTAATATGGTACATTTCAATCATGTCATATGATACCATATTTATTTCATCGCCCTGGTGTTAAAAATCGTTATCATCCAACTGGACTATCGTGCGCTGGCGCTTCAATCACTCCAGAGTGCGCCGAAGACAGACGGGACGCGCGCACACCGCCAGTGTTTACGTAAAACGCTCATCGAAATTGAATCCTAAGTACTTTAATTTCAAGATGAACCTCGCGGTCGTTCGAAGACTTTGGCAACAATGACAATTTAAGGGCTATTGTGGAGGTTGATGACATACAATCTACTGCTGATTTAGCAGCAGCTTTCGACGTTAGCGTCAAAACAATATTGGTACATTTGCGTCAAATTGGCAAGGTAAAAAAGCTTGATAAGTGGGTGTCCCACAAACTAAATGATCAACAGAGCTAAGTATGCATCGAGCAGTGCGAGGGGGACTGGGATGCCGTCTCCTCCTTTTGCGAAGCAGTTATGCTAGCTAAGGAGGAGGCGGGACGCGTGAGGCAGCGAAGCGCTGGCTCCTCGCAACCCAGCCATCGCGAAGGACACACCTGGCGTCGGGGATCGCGGGACGATCTCCAGTTACCGTAAGCGCGGGCCTGCGGACGGTGAGCATGGGTGGCTCCCCGTCCGACCAGAAACAGACCCGAGCGTACGGCGCCGAGCGTTCCGCGCGCGCCTCAAAGAGCCATCAGACCACCACAGATGGGGCCCAACAGGGTCGATGCCGATTCGGAGTCGCGGAGAACCTAACGGGTAACCGGGGCTCCGGCTCGACGTGCAGGAGAAGAAACGGGGTGATTTTTAGTCAGTAAGAGTCATTCGATGATTTTCCACCCTTAAAAAAAATGCATCGAGTAGTGCCTTGCACTGCACTGCTCAATATACACACAATGAAAGAATTTTGATTTGCATTGTCACCTCCGATGAAAAATGAAATCTGTGTGATAACCACACGCGTTTAGCATGTTGGTTGAATCCTAGTTCAGCACCTAAACAATGCCCTAAACGAAAACTTACCCCTAGAAAAGTGATGGTCACTGATGGTCTAGCGCTCGCGCTATTCTGATTCATCACAAATTCTTACCAAACGGAGTGAGCATTACTACGGATATGTAGTGTGAAGAACTGAACACAATAATGGAGAAGCTGACACATCTTCAACCAGCATTGGTCAATCGCTAATCTCCATTGCTCCTGCATTACAACGCGCGACCTAAAGCTGCACAAGAGGCGGCCTCCACGTTACAAGAACTGGGGTTGTGAAGCTCTCCGACATCCACCCTACTCACCAGTCACCAGACTACTTCTTTTTCCAGAATTTGGATAACTTCTTGGAGGGAAAAAATTTGAAGAAGAAAGATTGAAGAAGGGCATCAATAAACTGCCACTGCGTTAGCAACGATGCATTGATTGCATGGGTGATTACGTTGATTATACAAATAAAAAATACATGAAAAAATCGTTTAAATTTTTTCATACAAAACGGCAATTTCAGTAAATGACCCATTAATTTAATTGATTTTGCTGAAATATAATCGATATTCCTATTGAAACTGTAATTATTACTCTAAATAAATACTTTGATTTTGTGTTGTGTTTATTTATTCAATGTAAGCATCTGAGATTTTCGGTGATTGCGATATATCCAGGTTGTTTTATCAGCCATTAATCGCCTTAGATGTAAATAAACATAAACATTAAACGTTATAATTTCAATGTTATATGTCACATAAGTAAATTAGCCTGTCACTCATTTTAGTCTGAATTGGTAGTTAAGATAAATAGCTTGCTTCTATTAATTTTGGGTTTCGTCACTTCATATTTTTTAGCTTACTCTGTAAATAGAGTGCATTGTCGCTTAATTTTTTTCCCTTGTAGCCAATTGTAGTTATGAAGTCACTTAAATCATTTTTCCTGACTCTAAAAAAGGGCAGATTGTATTAAGCGACATTTATCTTTGTAATTAAAGGTCCGCTTTATTTGGAATTAGCATCAGCAACTAGATAATTTAATTTAAATTTCAATGCAATTTACCCCGTTCAAATAACTGCAGAAACGTTTTTGTTACGAATTTTTTTTCGAAATTTCAAACTTTAAAAGGCTCTCCTGTAAAGTTGCAAAAATGTCGCTTAAACCAAATAGCCCGTTACCCCTCGATATCATACTTTAATTATTGATGTTGACTTTGACGTACCGCTAACTGTGCTATCGCAACCTTAACATGCTTTGTGAACGCGCGTCAGTTGTTATTGACACTGTCATTTTGTTGATACCACATAATTCGTTTAAAACCTCCAAATGGCATTATTTTACTTAATCAACCTAATTACTGTAAACAGAATATTGCAAAATAATTATTTATAAGTTTCCTATAGAAACCAGTATTAATTCTCAACTAGTCTTTAGTCAACACGTCATAATACACTGTCTACTTTTGCATAAAACCTGTTTCTGTCTTTCTAATCATTCCTGAACTGGCGCCATTTATGTCATAACTGTATGTCAAATGTCAATGTTGATAATTTGGTTTTCCGTTTTCCCCAGTCTGTAAACTGACTTCGTAGTGAATATTATTGCTATTTGTGAGTCTGTATGTAAATATTGATTATTTATAAGACTTTATCACGATAAGATTTTTCAAGGCTAAGGCTGAGATATGACAATCCATTAACCATTCAGTCAGTATTCGCTACAAGTGTATATACTTCACTAGATCTATGCGAAAAGAAACATTTTCTCGTGTCTATTAAAATTACGAAAAATGATTACTGAGTCACGATTTAAGTGAATTTCCCGCGTGAGTACGGTGTATTAATGACGTGTTTTAAGTACTCTTAGTTCATTGTGGAACTGTTATAGTGAAGACGTGTTAGGTGCAAGTTTTGAAATAAAACATGGATAAAGTAAAGCTGTTCTGGTCTAAAACTAACCGGTGGCATAGAGGTACGTAGACAATATAAATATAATATTTATTAAATCGGCATAGGTAAAAAATAAAATGCTAAAATGTTTTATTGAAATACTTATAGGTATCCTGTGTTCTGTATAGAACATTAATTTTTAAAATAAAATTACTAGAATTTTATGAATACTGCAGCTAATCATTTATATGTATGACATTGTAGAACATACTTTTTTTTAAAAAGAGTAACGAATGGAGTTTCTTGCTCGTTCTTCTCCATTCGAATCTTTTTGGAATGAGCACCTAGCTTCACCTAGTTTCACTGACGGACTGACTGACAGACTATTATTTATTTTGTATTTGTTGACGTTTCAAAAGCACCAAACTATGGTTTAATTGAAATAAATGCTTTGACTTTGACTTTATGACTTGCACCTGATAATAATGGTGATTAATAGATAAATATATTAGAAATATGAAACTAAATTAGGTATGTTAGTATGTAATTGTAACTATTTTTAATGAAATACTGCTACTTAGGTAATAGGTACTACTTTCTGATTCAAAGTCAATTAAAATTTCTATTCAGTTTTATCATTACTTATGCTATGATTTGTATTTTACATTATTCTTAATAATTTTAAGATGTCTGAATAAATATAATAAAAACGAATTACATTGTCTTGTGTAAAAACAAATATCCTGCAATAATATATGTAGGTCTAATTGTTTAATGTTTTATGTATCTATCTGGTCTAATTCAGCTGGTATCATTGTGCATATTTATAATAAAATTATTATTATTATTTAAAGATGTTGCGTCGCTTAATAGATGGCCTTAATATTGAGATAGATAAGGCTATGGTTTTGTTACAGCAATTTAGTTTGCTTCTTCGTCAAATGTCAAAAGTCAGTGAATAAAGTGAAGTAACATTATTGTGGTGTTTGTGTTGTTCTCCAAATCCCCCTGAAGCCGACCCTCTATCAAAGTCAAAGTCAAAATCATTTATTTCAATTAGACCAGAAAGGCACTTTTGAATGTTAACGTTTGGTCATTCCAAGGTGTAGACTCCTATGAAATTCCTCTGTCTTCTACAATCACTATATTAAACACAAAACATCAAATATACTAACAAATACTTTACCAAAACTACGGTTTCTACCAGAGTGTAAAAACCATTTTCATTTATCAGGGATCATCGGGTCCTCTAAAAGACCTGCTTCAGAGCTCCCAATGCCTATAGTATTATTTATCATCACTATAGGTAATTAATTCATCATAATAAATTAGTTAAATAGAAAATATTCACCAAGTCATGTATAAATTAAATATGTCAGTGTTGGTGCACATTGTTGCATATTATATTATTATTAAAGAATAATAAAGATTTACATTCAGCAAAATAATTATGTATGAATACAAAACAACTTGTTGTTAAGTTTAATTTTAAAATAAGTAGGCACTATAAATACATAGATTTAAATTATTTTCATAACAAATGACTTTGACAAAAGATGGAGTCTTTCGCTCATTTTTTTCTATTCGAAACTACACCTTGGAACGTGCACCTAGCTTCACTGACTGACAAACGGATGGACAATACAATTTTTGACATTTCGAAAGTGCCTAATTAATTAAAAAAAGTTTGATTTAAACTGTCAAACACCAAGCGGTCACCGGTGACCGTGACCTATTGTTCTTTAATCGTGTCTATAAAACCGGTACTCGACGAGTTAAATAAATGTTTTAACTTTGACTACTCTTTTACTTTTAAGTATAAATACTTAGTATGTTTTACATACACTTTTATCCCCTAATTCTATGTTCACTCTCAATGTCAAGTAACTACTTTAGTAATATTACCTACTTAGGTATAAGACTTCGTGTTCCCACTGCCTGTTACAAACTTAAGACCATTTCTTAGCATATTACGTATTACAAGTAATATCCATCATTAATATTAATTAGCATTTCTTCACTACGTAATGTGGGCATTATGTAACATGTGTCATTATTTGTACAGGTATTTTTGTGCACACAATATTATTATAACTTGGTATAAACTACTTACTTAACTAACTAGTGACACTTAGTTACAGCATGTTTTACTAAATCTTTACTCTTATAAATCTCTGAGTTTTTTATTTTGTTTTTCTAATACCAGGGTGCTTACTCCTGAATCCAATTCCAATCGATCGACATTGGCATTGTGTAATTTCGTACTCTTGAGTTTAAACATTAGCGCCTATTGCATCCGTATTGCGTGTGTATTTAATACTATACCTAGCGACCGCCCTAGACATGCACCCATTAATTTCTTCTGGAGCCGCTGTCACTATGGACTAGTAAACCAAGCGCGTTTCGCAGCTTTTAATTCCTCTAGTTAAACTCCACTACGGCTGTCCATGGGTTGATCACTTCGTTGAGGTGATGTGTCTTCTTGTATTCTAGTCATTTAAGTGACCTGTAAAAAGGTCGGGAGCTATGTTTTCGGCTTACTCAGTAGCAGCGCGACAGTCGCCGCGTCGCGGGTCGCGAAATGCTGCTCATGAATATGAGCCTCTAGCATGGCTTGAAACTAGTCGAGTTCCTCGTCAAATTATTACGTGAGTAAGCCGAAAACATAATAATTTATTTAGTATGTCTCACGAAAGTTACAATATAAACATAGCTAGTTAGTTCATCGTCGCTGAACTTTGAAATCGACTGTCGTCCTTGACCATTATGTTCTTAATCTATTAGCAGTTGTTATCAAAATCAAATGAAGCTGTATCTATAGTTATCTCGCCGTGATATTGCTTTATCATACTGACTTAACAATGTATATTAATATCATGCATCTGACTCATTCATGAGCATTTTTCTGCTGTTGAAATAATTTTAATTTATTTCAACAAAAACAGACTGTTTATTGGTAGAGTTGTCACAAGCAGGCCTCATGTTTGATTGACATTCTGATAGAGTATTAACACATTAGCCTACAATGAGCACGCCTACCTACCTACCTACTAACTCGGTTCTTTAAGAAACACAGAATTTGACAAAGAATTCCAATCCTTATTAAATAACAAATTCGTACAATAACCAAGTATTTTTTACACCTCTGTCTACACCTTTGAAGATAAAAAGGCGTGCCGTTGTGTTGCTTTAATGAAAATTCGAAAATTTTCTTCACATGCATTGAGAATAGAAAACAAATCGTAACCATAATTTATTATTCTTTTATTTAGTATGCTATTATAGCCTACAGCCGTTTGTGATAAAAGATAACGCATTTCAATTGACGTAGGTACGTACATACAGATTGTATGTACCTATATTTAAATACTTAGGTACATATATAAATATAAATGTGCAACTATAGAAATTTTTTATCTGTTTCTTGAAATGAATAGTTGGGTAATGTAGGTATATGTAGTTACGCGAATAGTAACCGTTCTTCCCCGATCTCGTGGGTATTTCGGGAAATCCTCATTTATAGTGTTCCCCTTTTATTCACTGAGTACCTAAGAGGCAAGACAGAACCGAAACTAGTTATAGGTCGTAGGATGCTGTGTGGTCCTGAGGCTGTAATTATTACAGAACATAATATAATAACACGCCTTTTATCACCGAAAGGGTAGAGAGAGGTGCACATTACGGCACTTAATGCCACTGTACAATGTATCACCCACTTTTGAATATTTGCCATACACTGGGCACAACTCCAGACTCCGTACTACTAGTGAGACTTTTTTTAAAAAGCCCATTAGTATTTTGCCCGACCCGGAAATCGAACACGAGACTTGCGACCACTCGGTCAACGAGGCAGTCTTATTGCAGAACTATATACAGAGGCATTATAACAGAACTAGCTAGAAAGACCTTTTCTTTTTGTGCGTGTCACGTCATGTCCAAATGCTACTACATTTTTTTATAATTATCTCTTGTTTATTGATCACGGTTATCCCGTCAACACGTACTCCTATCCTAGAAGTCCCAGAATAACTATACCTACTCTAATAGATGGTGACCAACTTGTTTTAACGTTCATGCAAAATGTTCATTAGTATCTTCCTATAAATAACAAAATGATACGTTAATGGCGTAATATCAGCTAATAGGTGACAAGGTCGTCTAGATTGTGATCAAGACCAGAGGTGACCACTCGATTACACACAAGATCTATGACAAAATGAAATAGACTTAACGTGATCTCTTGTAGGCACACTTTTGGTCTTTTAAAAAGACTTTTCGAATCGCAAAATACTGATGTGAACTTATAGCCTTCCACCTGTTTTAATTTTTTAAAGTTACCAGTAGACTTTGCGCGTAAGAGTATAAGGAACGTACTCCTACAGTCGTACCCACTCCCATACATCCTCAATCTCACACACTTTCGCATTACTCTCTACAAAGCATCATATTCATTAAAGGTTGTCTGGTAGAAATCACTATAAGTGATATGATGATAAGACCGCCTATGTGCCCATTATTATTGGCACAAAGGCGGTTCTGCCTCGTTGGCCGAGTGGTCGCAAGTGTGACTGCCGGGCAAGCGGTTTCGGGTTCGGTTCCCGGGTTGGGCAAAGTATTACTGAGTTTTAACAAAATTTTTAGTAGTAGCACGGAGCCGGAGACTAGAATTGTGCCCGGTATATGGCAATAGGCTTACCCCTTATTACATGGGACTTATAATTAAAGTGAAAAGTGCATTAAGTGGCGTAATGTGCACCTCTGCCTACCCCTTCGGGGATAAAAGGTGTGATGTTATGTTATGTCGATTTTTAACCAACACTTGTCCCCGATTTCGTACCCATAATGACATACAAACAAAAAGTCCCGCTTTTCTCGTTACGGAAAAGGTTCATATGCTGATTTCATAGAACAAAATATACCAATGATTCTTTACATTCATAAAACATTGATGAAAAAACCTTATTCACCGAATTACATATAAAAAATGAGGTTATTAACCTTTGATCTTGACTTGCAATATTTCGTGATGATGATGTAACCTCGTACTTTGAGACTGAGTACGACCGTCACGCTTTGGGAACTTGAGCTGTCTAGCGTAACAATAATTAAACTCCATGTGTGTTATTTTCGAGATATATGCAATAGGATATTTTGTTGTATTGTAAGTTGGGATAAACGGACCAAGTGATACCATGTCCTCACAGAGAACCGACGTGAAAAAACGCTTTTTTTAAGGGGTGGGGGGGGTATCATCGAATGACTGCTCCCGCCTGGGTGAGGCGGGAGGGAGTGTCAGACTCTTACTGAATAAAAACCAACCCGTTCCTTCTCCTGCACATTGAGCCGGAGCCCCGGTAACCCGTTACGTTCTCCGCGACTCCGAATCGGCATCGGCCCTGTTGGGCCCCATCTGATGAAAAAAAAAACGCTTGCGTTGTGATGCTCCATGTAAGTGAAGTGAATATCCTCAATGTCCAAATCTTCAATATCCTTTGCTTAACATCATCTCCACCGTCTCCACCTCTTACCATCCGTCTCCTCATTTGCTTTTCTATTCCAAATACCTGAGTGGAAGGACTCTTCTTCGTGGAAAGTTTGAAAATTATACCACGAGTACCAAATTATATTTTTATCATTGTTGAGGTTGCTCTTAAGCATAGTCAGAAACAGCTAGATAAATACCTACAATATTCAAAAGTACTTAATTATGGTTTAATTGAAATAAATGCTTTGACTTTGAAATTGAATATTTGAAGAAATCATCACTTTGTTCCAGGTCTATTCATCCTTCTGCTGGTGGAATTAAGAGTGTTTCCAGGCGGTCAGTTGGGGTTCCAATGCAATGACCCCGCGCTCTCACATCCTTTCAATGGAGACACCATCAGCTGGAAGTGGTTGCTAGCTACGTCGATATTCGTACCTTTAATTGTTGTAAGTAGACGTTTATCATTAGGTAGTAGGCTGTGCGACATCGCCGCGACCGCGCACGCTGAAGGAAGAACCCCTCTGTGGTTCGAAACTAGTTGAGCTTTTCTCAGTTTATTCACGTGAGTAACCCGCGACTTTTAGTTAGTTTATCATTAGTGTTGAAAATGGAAATTTTCATTTAACTAATGAACCATATCTTACAAGGAGTTATAAAAGACCTATTGTATGATTAATGGCTGTTTATGACACATCAAAGTCTTGCATTGTTTTTAACCGAGTTCAAAAATAAATTCAGTTCTCAGTTTCTCGTTGTTTGCGCGCGGTTATCTCACGAAAGGCTGAACCGATTTTGATGCGGTTTTCAGAAAAATGATTGTTATATACCTATAACTCCTAAGTACCCTTAGGAGAGGGTTTTAGTATAATAATTAACAGACTTCAAAAAGAGAGGAGGTTGAAGTCGGTTTTTTTAAACGATTGATCTGAAATGAAATTTTCACAGAATTACTGAGCTTTTTGTAATATTTTAGACAATTTTAGTTTTAACACGAAGACTAGAATTGTTTTCGACTTCAGTATTAATTCCCATTCCTGCATTAAATACATATTTGTTTTTATTAGTGGTTTAAAATCGTAGATGTCACTACTGTCGACTTTGGATCTGTCTCTTAAATGAAATGTCTTTTAACATGACCATTTTTATCTAAAAATGTCATGATTTTTTTTTCTTTTACAGATGTTAATAGTAGAAAGAAAGTACCACAATGAGAAGTCGTCAAAATCCAAGCTGGCTGTGGAGTGGTTCAAGGAGTATCTCTATGGGTTGCTGGTCAACCTCCTTATAGTGCAGACCCTCAAGCTTATCGTTGGCTCACCACGGCCACATTTCTTTGACACTTGCAGTCCGAACGAGGCACAGACTTGTCAAGAGTGAGTTTTTTTAGACTTTTAGACCGAAATGGACAAAAAGACTTGAATATTTTTTTTATGGCATAAGCCGGTAAACGAGGAGATGGATCACCTGATGGTAAGCGGTCGGCGTCGCCCATGGACATGGGAATACCAGAGGCGTTACAAGTGCGTTATCAGCCTATTGGGGATTAAGAGCAAGCAACTAATTCGTCAAACTAAGCTGGAAGTAGTATTTCCAAAGTCGACTCGCACGTCTGAGACTAAGTACATAGTCTCAAGTTCCTGAACGAGCAGACGGATCACCTGATGGTAAGCAATCGGCGTCGCCCATGGACACAAGGAGGCATTACAAGTGCGTTACCGACCTTTTGAAGATTGAGGTATTTGAGGATTGTAGGAGATTCAGGTATTGGTAAGATTGGAGAAGGGGGGGGGGAGAATTGGCCCTCCGGTGACCTCATTAACACGACGAAAGACAACGCAAGCGTTGTTTCATGTCGGTTTTTAGTGAGGCCGTGGTATCACTCCGGTCGAGTCGGCCCATTCGTGCCGAAGCATGGCTCTCCCACACTTAAATCGATCCTAACATAAATACTTTAGGAGTTATTTTTTCTCAGCAGCTCAATAAAAACTCTTGATGTATAATACTTTTTTAAATGACATGTATTAAATGCTTTGCTTAAACTAGGAATGAAACCTGTATTAATCTATTTAAAGGTCTGAATACGTGGCGAGCTACACATGTACAAAAGCGCACTGGGTCAGTCAGTCGGACAAGAGCTTTCCTTCAGGACACACGTCTCTTGCAGTACATGCTGGCGTTTTTCTAGCTGTAAGTAATATATAAATTTTAGAAAGTTAATATCACTTATAATATAACAAAATACCCAATACTAGTTGTGTAATATTTGTTACGCTTTGTTCCCTAAACTGCTGAACTGATTTTGATCAATTCAGGTCACAGATCTATACACATGGATACGGGAATCGAAAGTGGAAAATTAGACTTCGGAGTATCTTTGCTCCGAAATCTAATTAGATGTAAAGAAAGCGGAGCCACTAGCGTTTTTCCTTTTTTATGGAATAGGGGAATTAATATTAATAATATAAAATGAGCGGGCGGATCACCTGATGGTAAGCGATTAGCGCCGCCCATAGACACTCGCAACACGAGGAGTCACAGGTGCGTTGCCGGCCTTTTAAAAAGGAATACACTCTGTTCTTGAAGGTCGTATTGGTTCGGAAATACCGCCGACCACTTTTTTATGGCATAAGCCGGTAAACGAGCAGATGGATCACCTGATGGTAAGCAATCTGGGCCGCCCATGGACACCTGAAACATCAAGGCATTACAAGTGCGTTACACATACATAACATCACGCCTTTTATCCCCGAAGGGGTAGGCAGAGGTGTACATTATGCCACTGTACAATGTAACACCTACTTTTCACTATTTATGTTATGAGTCCCATGTAATAGGGTGTGAGCCGAGCCTATTGCCATATATACCGGGCACAATTCCAGACCCCGGGCTACTACTGAGATATATTTTTAAAACCCAATAATACTTTGCCCGACCAGGGAATCCAACCCGAGACCCCTTGCCCGGCAGTCGCACTTGCTACCATTTGGCAGTACGAGGCACCTACTAAAATATTTTCTTTAATTCCAGTACTACCTCCACCGTCGTACGAGTATGACGTACAAAGTGCTGGTCTTCCAAGTCATCTTCGTGAGCACTGCTGTAGTATGCAGTGTGTCGAGAATGACGGATCATAGACACCACTGGTGGGATGTACTGGCGGGGGCATTAATAGCTGTGCCTGTACTGTTTTATACCGTGAGTATATATATTTTTTTTTATATTTGATGGGGCGACGTTTGACCACTATCTCGCCTGGTGGTAAGCGATGATGCGGTCTACGATGGAGCACGTCGTCCTACGCTTGCCTACGCTTCGCCGATTGTCTTATGGTACGATGATGGAAAGGACTAGGGGGAATTAAGTTGTGCAATTCCCCCGAACTTTTGTTTTGGTATATTAAAGGGTTATTTTGTACCTTGTTAGCAGGAATAGAAATTATATTCCTAAACCAATTGGGTACTTGCCAATTAGTCAAATTCAATACTTTTTTCGAACTGTCAAAAACGACAGTTTTCTATGAATTTTGCACGAGATTGTGTATTGTGACGTCACGTTTTTTTAGCGTCAAACAGCATACTTATTTTTAATAATTTTGCTGGATACATACTAAAATTAAGTTGGTCATAAAATCAATTAATGAAAGTGTGATTGTTTTTTAATATTTTATTGTGTTAAACAGTCAAAATAATTTATTTTTGATGAAGGCAAGTACCCCATTGATATAGTATACTCATACAATAAATGGGTTCGACAAAAAAGGAACCCTTACTCAACTAAGCGACATTTTTTGCCATATAGAGTTAAATGCATGTTCAGAATAAGCGAATTTTCATCGTGGTGTAGGTATTTGACAATATCACAAAAAAATGTCGCTTAAATCAATTAGCATTTCAACAGTCGTTATATAATTTGTCGTGGTGGCCCGGAGGTTTAAGACGCCCGCTTCTCATGCATGAAGGTGAGGGTTCGAAACCTACCAACGGCAAGTACCAATGTGACTTTTTCCGAGTTATAGGTACTTTCTAAGATTATTCAGACACTACTGACAAACGGTGAAGGAAAACATCGTGAGGAAACCTGGGCTTATAATTTCTAATTATAAGTTTGTAATCGCCAACCCGCATTGAGCAAGCGTGGTGATTAATGCTCAAACCTTCTCCATGTGAGAAGAGGCTTTGCTCAGCAGTGGGCATTTATAGGCTGTTGATGAATATAATTTGTCATTTTTTGCAATCGATTGCTCGATAATTGTCGGGCTCGATAATAATCGAGGATCGAGCTTAAAAATGGTAGTTGAAAGTGGTCAGGACTTTCTAGTTTCGAAATTAAAAACTATACTGCTATGTTATGCTATGCTATGCTATACTACAACATGTTGCAGGTTCAATCCCCGCTAGGAAGAAATTTTACTTTTGTGATCTAGATTTTGTTAGTTTGGGGTCTGGCTAGGTGTGATATTTATGTGATAATAATTGTGACATACAGACTGATCAAAGTACCTGCAAAAAAATAACTGAAAAGTTAATTACTAACCAATAATTTTTACTCTTTTATGGAATAAGCCGGTAAACGAGTAGACGGATTACTTGATGGTAAGCAATCGGTGTCGCCTATGAACACCTGGAACACCTGGTAGAAATGCGTTACCGGCCTTTTAGGGATTAGGACATAACATAACATCACGCCTTTTATCCCCGACGTGGTAGGCAGAGGTGCACATTATACCACTGTACAATGTAACACCCACTTTTCACTAATTATGTTATGAGTCCCATGTAATAGGGGGTGAGCCTATTGCCATATACCGGGCACATTTCCAGACTCCGTGCTACTACTGAGATTTTTAAAAACCCAGTAATACTTTGCCCGACCCGGGAATCGAACCTGACACCTCTTGACCATCAGTCGCACTTGCGCCCACTCGGCCAACGAGGCAGTGAATTTAGGAAAAATAGGCAAAATGGGGATTAGGAATTTGAGGATTATTGTGTATTCAGGTATTAGGGAGGGGAGATTGGGGAAGGAGGGGGGGTGTAATTGAGCCTCCGCTAACAAACTAAACCACCGGTACTATTGAAACTTAATAAGTTAATAATGCTTTTCCATTTGTCCCAGATTCGTTCCCTGTGCAACAACTTCGAGTGTTCAAGCAATAGTTCGACCCCGGATGCTCCGATAAGTGTTGAAACTAAAATAGTTAATATACCTTTAATAAACGCGAAGGAAACATAATTATTTTTCATAAAGTAGATAAATAAATTCTTATAAACGGTGACAAACTATAATGTACCTTAACTATAAGGCTGTAAGATTGAAAGTTGCACGTTAATAGATAATTCGAATTTAGAATTTGTATTGAAACTTGCATGTAAGCGTGTAATTCAAATTGAGAATTAATTGCAGTTTAGGAATATGTTCTTTAATATAAAGAAATAAAGTTGTATTTTCAATGAAGAAGGAAATCACGCTATTTAATGTACATATCACATACATATATATGTCATATAGTTATTGTTTTAATTTCAACTCAAGCAGTTCTCAACTTTATAATTGACACAGTAAAGTATATTTTACGATGATGGCTAAAAATAATAAAAATATGTACCTAATGTAATATATGAAACTGCTAGTGTTAGTTCACTGTTGAATTGTAAATCTTATGGCTATACGTGTTAAAGTCTCTTTTGCAATTTGAAGTATTTTAAATACGTTGTATGAATGTTGTCATACATACATGGGTAATTTGACCGACTAAGTACATTAAAATTACAACTAGTCAGACTCAGTGCTTTTTATAAAATATCAATATAAGTACTTTTCTACGATTTTTGTAAGGAAATACTTACGTAATAAATTTGACTAATGACGTCATATAATTTTAATTTTCTAAATATGTATTAACATAACATAACATAACATCACGCCTTTTATTCCCAAAGGGGTAGGCAGAGGTGCACATTACGGCACTTAATGCCACTATACAATGTAACACCCTCTTTTCACTATTTATGCTTAAGTCCCATGTAATAGGGGGTGAGCCTATTGCCATACCGGGCACATTTCCAGACTCCGTGCTACTACTGAGATTTTCAAAAACCCAGTAATATTTTACCCGACCCGGGAATCGAACCCGAGACCCCTTGCCCGGCAGTCACACTTGCGACCACTCGGCCAATGAAGCAGTCTAAAAAAATATGTATTAATGTATGTATATACGTACGTAAATGAGTAAAACAAATCCCTTGTAATCAAGTGTGCAACGGCTGGACCGTATGCTAAGTATGTAATGTAACATTAAGGGCTCGTACACAACACTGCGATGCGATGCGATGCGAATTTGTAACGCAAAAATTCGATGCGAATTGCTGCGATGCGATTTCGTGCGACAAGGCGTCTCCCAGGGTGACCATTCCTTCGACGACCGTCAACCGTACTAAACGTATTTTAAATTGAAAACTAGGTCGTGACATATGTCGTAAAAAGAAGTGTGCACTTCTGTTATTGCTTAGGAGATACAGGAAAAAGAAACAAAGAATATTTTGGGAAGATAAGATTTTGATGCGCGATGCGAATCAATTCGCAAGTTCTTGCGATGTGTAGAGGGAGCTCGCACATTTTTGCGATGTGACGTCGCATCGCAGTTTTGTGTACAAGATTTGAATGTTTGTGTTTATGTACAGTACATTCCAAAATTATATATTTACCCTGAAAATGAAAATGTATAAATATTCGTTAGACACACACAAACACACACACACACACACACACATGGTATGGTATATAGTATATGTCTAATAGATGTCGAGACGCCTTCTAAAATTCAATATTCATACAGTAATATTGACCACTTTATTGTTAAGAACCTCTTAAGTACAGGAGGAATATACCCATGGGAGCAAAGTAATGGAGCCACTACCCATTTACCCAGAGTCCAACAGGCTATAATGGGCTGTTCATGTAAGTCAGTAAACACAACAACAAGCAGACGGGTCACCTGATGGCAAGCAACCGGTGTCGCCAATGGACACCTGAAAAACCAGAGGCGTTACAAGTTTGTTACCAGCTTTTTGGGGATTAGGAATTTGAAGATTGTTGAGGTTTGGGTATATTGGGGAGGAGGGTAATTGGGCCTCCGGTAACCTCACTCGCATGACGAAACGACACAACGTTGTCACGTCGGTTTTCTGTGAGGCCGTGGTATCACTCCGGTCGAGCCGGCCCATTCGTGCCGAAGCATGGCTCTCCCACACTTAAAATGCTCGTCCTAGTCCCCATCTCCCGAATCCCCGAATCCTCCACAATCCTCAAATTCCCAATCCCCAAAAGGCCGGTTACGCACTTGTAACGCCTTGGTGTTCCAGGTGTCCATGGGCGGCGCGGATTGGTTACCATCAGGTGATCCGTCTGCTCGTTTACCGGCTTATACCATATAAAAAAAGCATGGCGCTCCCACACTTAAAACTTAATTTATTATTTTTATAGAATTTCATAATATATTTGATTTCTAAGTTAAATGACTGTGATTACTAATACTTATATTTATTTGTTTACTTGTTTGTGTTATCATTTCACCAAAGTATTTTTTTTTGTTTTGTGATATTTATTTAGCGGGTGTTCTTTTTATGTTTTTATTTATTTTAATGGAATATGGTGATGATTTTAAATTTTGAATATATATAGAAATATGCTAGACAATTTAATTAAGTACCTATATATATTCGTTGAAATTGATATAATTATTTCAACTTTATAATGGTAATTTGTGATCATTAAAATTGGGTATTTTGAATGTAATTAGGTCATTTTAATTAATAACGGCCTCTAGTAATGCGCTGTTGAATAACGTTCGGTCACTGCGTCAAATATAATTGAGACAAATTACCAATAATCATGTCAATTATAATAATTTCAAGTCAAATACTAGCCATTTCTTGTGGATGTCATTAAAATGTAATTGATGTTTGTCCGCAAACATTCTCTGACTTAACGAAGGCGTTTGATATTGTTGACATTATCAATTTTCCTTAAATAATGTACTGCCCCCAGTAATATAGTTAACACATTGGATGTCGTGTCGGACAATGATGCCCGACGCTGGCGGAGGATTCCATAACATCACGCCTTTTTATCCCCGAAGGGGTAGGCTGAGGTGCACATTATGCCACTGTACAATGTAACACCCACTTTTCACTATGTTATGAGTCCCATGTAATAGGGGGTGAGCCTATTGCCATATACCGGGCACAATTCCAGACTCCGTGCTATCACTGAGAATCTTTTTTAAAAAACCCAGTAATACTTTGCCCGACCCGGGAATCGAACCCGAGACCCCTTTCCCGGCAGTCGCACTTTCACACGGAGGGTTCTATTTTAACAGTCGGCAGTTAAAAGCTTAACTAACCTTATGAAATGTAGTTAAGAAATAAGTGATAAGCAATACTTAATACTTTTTAATGAGAAAACGTACATTTAGATAATAATAGCTATTTCCGTGTTCCGGGCAGCCGGAGGTTTAACTTTAAAAACTTTATACGTGGCTGTACTATCATATAAATGCCTGAGGATGGTTAGAAACCTACTAACTGCAAGTACCTACCAATGTGACTTTTTCCGAGTTATCTGTAGTTTCTAAGATTAGACACCATTGACAAACGGTGAAGGAAAACATCGTGAGGAAACCTGGACTTATAATTTCTAATGTATAATAAGTTTGTAATCGCAAACCCACATTGAGCAAGCGAGGCGATCAATGCTCAAACCTTCTCTGTGTGAGAGGACGCCTTTAGTCAGTAGGGGGCGACTTATAGGATGTTGATGATGATAATGATTTATTTTTCTATGATAAATTATTAGAAAATAAAAATACCGTAAAACCTCATAGATAAACGTATCCTATTTTTCCTGTAGCATTAATAAAAATAGCTATTTTTATGAGAAAATTAGATAAATTGTAATTCTAAGTAATGGGGACGGACGAGAATCTTATTTTATTATTTTCAGTACTAAGTATCCCTAACACCGAGAAATCTATTTCGTTTACGTCCCGCGGCAAATGAACTTGCCATAAGGAGGACTTTCGATATATAAAGTAATAGCAAAAAAAAGTTGTATTTTTTTAGTTGAAGAAAAAACATGGAAATACGCAAATGAATACGCGCTAGTCGTAAATAGGGTTGCCACCCGTACTTTATAATAAAGTATTGTACGTTATTTAAGGTAATTGTACTCAATACTTTATAAGAATAATAAAGTACACGAAAATACTTTATTTTTGAAAAATTCGATATCGATATTTATCGACTTATGTTGAATCGATTTCGCCACTCGCCAGCGCCACTAAGACAATTTCTAGTAAAGATGCAATCGTTTAGTATTTCAATGCAATTGTTTAGTAAAGATACTAATTTTATACAAACTGAAAAAAGGAATAAAAAGTATATTTTTAATATAATACTAAATATGAATAAATTGTACTTTATTTTTGTACTGTGTACTTTTTTTTTCTTACCTATAATCGTCAATGTACTTTAAATACCAAAATAAAAGGTGGCAACCCTAGTCGTAAATTTGTAGGCACTATTCGCCATCGCACGTGGCACCCGAAAAGAAATACCTCTTCTAGAATTACATGGCATAATGTTTTGATAATGTACCATGAGTTCGTTTAACTCGTCGAGTACCATATTTATAGACACAATTAAAGAACAATAGGTCGCGGTCACCGGTGACCGCTTGGTGTTTGATAGTTTAAATTCGTATGCGCTTTCGAAGTTTGCTTTTTGCAATGGTTTATCAGTTATTTGTTGTTTATATAAATATTTTATTTCTTTGTAAAACCATTTTACTTCAGGACGAAAACAAAATAGATTTCACTGTGTATAATAAATACACGCAGGTACCGTGTAGTGTTTATTATAGAAAATTCGACCCTAAATATTAATTGTATGTGAAATTACAATAAGGTGAATGAAAACAGGTAATAAATTACTTTGAAATATGAGAGATAGTTATTCTACTTATTTTGAAAATGTACCGTATTGCTTTTAATTTTAAAGTATCATTTCTATTTATCTTTTGTGATACAATACTGTAAATATTTTAAAATAACATCACGCCTCTCATTCTCCTGTAACACTAAATAGAAAAGCATATAGCATAAGCAGTAAATGTTTTGACAGAATAGACCACATTATGCTGCTTCGTAAGCTTCAAAAAATTGGTATAAGGGGTGATTTACTTAGATGGTTCTCTTCGTACATTGATAAAAGATCTCAGGCTGTCGTTATCAATAACTATATGTCTGGCTGGGTTGCTATACCCAGCGGTGTTCCACAGGGCTCTCTGATCGGTCCGTTGCTGTTTTTGATATTTGTGAATGACATTGTCGATTGCTTCCACCATAGCAAAGTCATTTGCTTTGCTGACGACATGAAAATTTACACAACGATCAGATCAGTGGCGGATGCTAGACGCCTTCAGGAAGATCTGGGTAGACTGGATGAGTATTGTTTAAAAAACAAATTAGATCTTAATCCAGTAAAATGCTCTGTGGTAACCTTTAGTCGAAAGAAAAATAATGTATGCACCCAATATTACCTCAAGGGCCATCTGCTTGGTAGACTCTACTCGGTTCGTGATCTAGGTGTTGTACATGATTCGAAACTCCTATTCGACGAGCATATTGAGAAAATAATTGCAAAAGCATCGAAGTCTTTGGGTTTTATTATGAGATCGACAGCCCCATTTAAGAATGCAAAAACATTCAAAATTTTATACTGTGCATATGTACGAAGCATACTTGAATACGGATCACAAATATGGAATCCCCGATATGATAAATATATTGCAAGAATTGAGGGGATTCAAAGGAAGTTTATTAAATTCTTGTGCTTTCGTTTGGCAATTCCTAATAAGGCTGGGTATGACAATTATATCAGCCTCTGCAAACAATTTCACTTTCTTCCGCTTTATAAACGTCGCGAGATAGCTGATGTTACTTACATCCTATCCATAGCGAATGGTAGAGTTGACTGCCCTGAACTCCTTGAAAAATTGTCCCTCAATGTTCCATCGAAATCCTTTAGGAGGCACGCACCTCTTTGTGCTCCGGTAGCAAACAGTAACTACAGGCAGAACTCATTCTTGTGTCGAGCCTGTCGTACTTTTAACGACATCAGTAGCAAGCATGATATAGATATCTTTTGTACAAGCCTGAGGAAAGCTAGAACTATGATAAGTGGAGACTTTTTTAATAACTGATTTTTGTTTTTTTTTATTATTATTATTTTATTTTAAATATGTATTCACCTTTCTTTTGTTTCTATATTTAAATAATTTTCTTGCTGTGTGCCTGTTTTTGGTGTATTTATAATTTTTATTTTGTCTTAGCTGTTACCTACTAAGTCAGTATTCGTGTGAATCTATAAGTGGCTCAATGTTACTATTCTTCTGCTAAATGTATGTAATGTAGCTGTTGATTCACCATTCAATAAATAAATAAATAAATAAATAAATAAATATAATAAAACTAGCTTCTGCCAGCAGCTTCGCCCGCGGTCCCAGGGGTAAAATGCCTATGTATCACTTCAGACCATAATCTACATCTGTTCCGAATTTTATTCCGGTCCCTTCACTCGTTTTAATATGACTGAGTAACAAACATACACATAAACTCACATATTTTCATTTATAATATCGAGTCAAGCTAATTTCAACCAATGGCCTTTCAGTTACAGCGTAAAGTCTATGAATGAGTATTGTAAACGTTAGAGTAGACAAATCAGAAATCACCGAATTGCTAAGCTATCTGGAGTTTCACGTGTTATTGTGAGTCAACCATAAAAGATAGACATATGCTGTCGAGGAATATTTTTTATATAATTTTAAGGAGAATATTTCCGTCATACATGATTTCTATGCAGCTTTAACCTATAAGCCTGCACACGCGACGAAAGTTTAAAAAATGGAGTAACTTCTCCCGTTTTCCCAATATTTCCCTTCACTGCTCTGCTCCTATTGATCGTAGCGTAATGAAAAGTATACTATAACCTGCCCAAGAGTATGAAGAATAATTGTGCCAAATTTCGTTAAAATCCACCGAGTAGTTTTTGTTTCCATAACGAACATACAGACAGACAGACAGACAGACAAAAATTTTACTGATTGCATTTTTGGCATCAGTAGCGATCCCTAACCACCCCTTGATAGTTATTTTTTAAATATATTTTATGTACAGAATTTACCTCTCTACAGATTTATTATAAGTATAGATAACCATAATTATTTTTATGCTATAACGTCGGGGATAGTGCAAATCCGCGAAACTAGCATTTGATAATTCCGCGTATCTGACAAATGTAGGTAATTCAAGTTTGACGAAAAATTACCCAGAATCTATTTATTTCAATTTCGATTTGATTAAAGGTCATTTTTACATATTAAAAATGACCTTTAAATTCATCGAATTAATAAAGTTAGTAAGTTTTAAACCTTCCCTGTAAAACTGAGGCCTTAGTAGTTAGTACGAGTTTCATTTTCGTTTAGAGTAATCGTAACGATTACGCGTTCTGTGCTCTGATTGGTTGGTTCATTAGAGCCGGCCAATCACAGCACCGAACGCGTACTCGTACGAAAAAGAAACTGATACTAAGGCCTGTGTATATATTGCCGATACGCGGCCTTTACGTATGCTAGATTCGCGGATTTACACTATAACCGACGATAAGTCATTTTGTCTTAGCAAAAATTGTGTCTGCAAGCTTCCTAATGAAAGAATAGTAATAAGAGATTTTCGCCAAATAGTACACTGAATAAATGATAAGTGTAATGTCTATATTTTGTATATAATACAATGTACTATTAATTTATTTTTGATCACGTGTGTATTAAATAAAGGTGGATTATTTTTCAAAAACTTGTCTTTTATTCTGACCAAGTATAATTTTTAAGTATGTACGTGTTTTTCCTGTAAGTAATAACATTTTATAGTAATTTGTTTATTTAGAACATATTATCATTGTTCCTTTTTAAATAGTATCTAAACATTTTCCAAAGTACCTACTTAACTAGTCATAGAAAACTGATAGTAGATTACATGTCCACCCCATAAATCTTTTATTTGATTTTAGATAGTAAACCATAATTAGTATAGGTAGGTAATTATGTAGAATCGTAAAAAAACTGGCAACCAACGTAATGTCTAATAAAAAAAAACAATCAGAATACAATTGCTTGTGTGCAGGTGGGCGGTTATTATAAATAAATTAATAAGTAACGTTCGGTCACTGCGTCAAATATGACAATAATTGAGACAAATTACCAATAATCTTGTCAATTATAATAATTACAAATCAAATAATAGCAATTTCTTGTGGAATGCATTAAAAATTTACCTAATTGATGTTTGTCCGCAAACATTCTCTGACTTATCGAAAGCGTTTGATATGGTTGACATTATCAATTTTCCTTAAATAATGTTATAATTTCCAGTATATTTCAAGTTTCAGTCGTTACTGGTCTTAACTTTGACGAATTTCAATATGAAATATATTAAACTAGCCTTAGTTCTAATTTATTTTATGTTTACAAATATGGTGTACACCAAGGACTTTACTTGGGTCCATTTCATTAAAAGCTTTATTGAAAATGAAAGAAAACCAACAATTTTAATATTTTGTGATCTATGCTGGGAGAAATGTAAGTACCTAAACTACTTAGGTTTTAATTTTGAAATGTCGTATTTGCTTACTAGTTAGTGGTGTCAATTTGGACGTCATGTAATATAACTTTATTATTTGATATGGGTATAGAGTACTTAACAGACTGCACGGTTGGCGGGATGAGTAGGCAACTGGCTGCCACGCAACGTGTCGTGTTCGATTCCCGCACGGAACAACTTTGTAATAATCCACAGATTATTGTTCCAAGTCTGAGTATCATGTGTATGTATGTGAAATTGTTTTTTCGTAAACGCTACCACGATACAGGAGAAAGAAAAGAACTGCTTAATTTTAACCCCTCGAGTGCACCAATATAAGACACAAAAGGTTAACCAAGAATCTATGTGATATTTTTTTCTAGATCATATAGTGAGTTTAGTAAACGCAGTATCAAGTATTGGCATCAGATCTTCTACCGCAATGGATGAAAGATCAAATTATTATCACCATGACTTGTTTTACTTATTGGACTTGGACTGCCCAAATGTTGCAGAAATTATTGCTTTGGTAAGTTTCCTTTACTTATTCTTCAAATTACATATAAATCCCTCTTAATATTGTATTTTTTTGTCATAGGCATCCTCTAGTAAGCTATTCAGTGCGCCATACCGCTGGTTGGTTATCACTTCTGCAAATAATACAAATATAGATCTGCTCTACACCAGCCCTATTTTACCTGATAGTGATCTAGTGTTGGCTGAGAGAACTGAAAACTTGGTGAAGTTAACTGAATGTGAGTATCTATATTTTTTGTAAGGATGGAATAGAAAATCATCAAATGAGGATCCATCCTCGCCCTCTAGTTGTGGTGGGAGGTGCAGTCACTCTGACTAAAAACCACCCCATCTTAACTTCTGTTTCGTGAATGGGCCACGGTATATAACGACCTTACACGCAACGCCAGCAGGCCCTATTCGCAATAAATTAATAATCTTGATTTTTCTCGAGAATCATCTACGTTTTCGCGATTTTTAAATCATGATTTTGTCAACAAGTTTACAAAATATCTCCCAACGGCTCCATGATATCGACTCCCCGCGGCTATTACAACGGCAGCGTGGTGGACGTGCGCGCGCACCGCGAGCTGTACCGCCGCCGGCGCAATATGCGAGGACACGCCATCACCATGTCCAACGTCATCCAGGACAGTAACACTACTCGTCTGCATCTACCCAGGGAGGATAGACTGTAAGTGGGGGATTTGAATGTTATTTTTGCTAGTCACTTTGTTCAACCACCATTTTTATAAAAATTAGAAAGCTTCGCTAAACAAGAATTTATTTAAACAGAAGCATCTTCTTCTAGAGAGCCTGAATACGACTCGATAGCAAAACTCTGTTGGATGGGCGTGAGACTAGGGCTTGTCATGCTAAACGCTACCCCGGTGTACATATTTAGCAACCGATGGGGGTATAAGGTCGATGGCCAGTGGTCGGGGATGATCGACGACGTGTATTCGGGAAGGGCTGAACTGGGTAAGTGGTAAATTAGATTTAAAGGTGTGAAGTTAAAAGAGCTTGTATATTAAATTCCGGTTTGAAACTGAAGAGTTCGATAATTGGGAGTAGAAATCAAATATTAAAGTTAAGTTTTACACAGGATTAGAAAAGATTTTGTTATCAGTAGTCTTGGCATGGCAGGCTTCTGCATGACTTATCACGTATTTTATACCAGTACGGACTAAAAATGTTTATTCGGAGTCTCAATGTAAAACATCAGTCTCTAACAAACTTTAGTTTACAATGGAAACTGAACCTAAACTTTTTGTCTTTTAGGTACAAACTTGGTTATAACAGAGGAGCGTTTGGACGTGGTCTCCTACACGGATAGTTTAGCTCCATTCAAAGTGCGTTTCATATTCCGTCAGCCTCCGTTACCGTACGTCACGAATATATTCACCATGCCATTCTCTACTAACGTTTGGGTTGCGATGTTTGTCTGTGCTATACTTGGTACGATAACTGTGTATTTTGCTGCGAAATGGGAAGCTAAAGGGAGGAAGGTAATGATCGTTATTTATTTATTTTCTCTTAAGTAGTAACTTTTTTGTACCCTAAAACACTTAATAATATTTTTGTCTCCTGCAAAAAGAAAAACCGTTTGTAGTAGAAACTATATCTTTCCTACATACTTAAATCCTGGTTATTTGAGACAGTAGGTCATGTTCCTGAAACCATCTATATCAATACTTACATTTATTTGTCTTAATGTTAGGGTCAATACTTAAATGTCTGATTAAAATATTTCTTGCAATAACCTTTCTTTCAATCTTTATGGTTATCCAAAGTAAACAAAGTAAGTATAATATAAAGGTTAGATACTATGGTTGAAGATGATACGTGTAAATAAAATTATTAAAAATTCTGTCGTTTATTATCGACCCAGGGTCAAACACAAGTGAACACCATAGGTGATGCATTGTTGCTGACTGTTAGCGCTATTGGTCAACAAGGCTGCGCGATGGAACCAAAAAAGCTGTCAGGTAGAATTATTTATTTATTGAAATGATAAAGTCTCATGGTTGAATTGGAAAAGGGGGTTTTTTATGGAACTTACTGGCAAACAAGTAGACAGATCACCAGATAGTAAACAATCGGACAATGGACGCCACCTATGGACACCCGAAACACCAGATGACTGATGAGTTACAAATGCGCTGCAAGCCTTTTCAGTGTTAAGGACTGGAAGATTGAGGAGATGGAGAATTGGGCCTTTGGTAAACTCACTCACATGGCATTCTAAAGTCTTAATATTTAAAGCTATCGGACTCTCCATACTTCTTAGGTGTCCCAACACCATGTTGACGTGTAACATGATGCAGGTCGCATGATGGTGTTCGTGCTGTTCACGGCGCTGATGGCGCTGTACGCGGCGTACTCCGCCAACATCGTGGTGCTGCTGCAGGCTCCCTCCGACTCCATCCGCAGCCTGCCGCAGCTCGCCAACGCTAAGATCACGCTCGCAGCCAATGACGTCGATTACAACCATTTCGTTTTAAAAGTAGGTGGAATTCATTTTCACTGACCAACCGAATTTAAACTTTAAGAATACTACGTATAAAACTTTAACAAATTTTTCAAGTCAAATGGACTATAAAGCTATTGATTCGTTACAGTGGCCTTTCACGATCCCCCCACGTTATCAGCCGTACAATGACGATGTTCGGAAGAATATTTACAGAAGAATTGATCCGGAGAAGGGTCAGAAACATTATTACAATCTTCAAGAGGGAGTCGAAAGGATCAGACAGGTGAACTTTGACTCTTAGTCATATTTATTGACATGTAGGTAAACTGCTATAATAAATAACACGTAGGGACAATATTAATGGTCCTTATCATAATTTCCTTCAGTTTCTAGTCAATGAGACTGTGTTTGAACGGCCAGAAAACGCCCACGTTTTAGGGAAAGGAAATGATGATGAATGAATGATGAAAACCAAATTAAGAAATTAAAATTATTTGAAATTATCAAAATGAGTCGCTACAACTTGATTATAGCGTTATAACTTACCGCGACTCCAGCTCGGAGCAGAAGTTACAACGGATTGGTTTTTAGTCAGTAAGAGTATGACACTCCCTTTCAGTTTCCCACCCTAGGTACCTAAGGCGCGAGGGAGTCATGATTTTCCAACCTTACAAAAAGGCTGGCTGAATACACAGCATCTGGCCGATCTGGAGTTCAATATATCAATGTTCAGTAGTAGACGTCTCACACAATCTGCCAGGAAACTTTTCATCAATAAGTATACCTCTAATTCAGGGTCTATTCGCATTCCATTCAATCGTGGAGCCGGTATACAGACAAATAGAGGATACATTCCTAGAGAATGAAAAGTGTGACCTGATGGAGGCGGACTTCTTGAACAACTTCGATCCCTTCGTACCGGTGAGGAAAGGGTCTCCGTACTTCGAACTGTATAGAGTCGCGTGAGTAACTTTATAAAAGTACTACTTATATTGCATCTGACTGCACGATTGGCGCGGTGGCTGCTATGCTATATCGCGGCTTCGATCACAGCTTGAAAGAACCCTATGTGTAATCCACAGTTTTGTTCCGGGTTTGGTTCCGAAAATCCTAGTGTGGGGCACCGTTATTAAAAAAAAGAAATAAAATAGAAAAACAAAATAAATAGTTAGGAAAAAAAGCATTGATTTGGCCGCTTGAAAATCTTGCAATATCCCAAAAAGTAGGTCGTAGGTCCTAGCTAAAAAGCAACGAAATTTTCATAACCCCCCGGGTATGCGTCTAGCACACCACAAACACTACATTTGCTGATTGACGAATAAGGTAGAAGTGACCTTGACACTGAAGTGAGTTCTTTTATAAAATGTCAAACATAGGAACAAAAAGATAAAAATGACAACAAGTAATATGTTTTGACTAATATTAATATGTATTCTTAGCCTTTTGAATGCCACAGTCGGCTATAAACGACAAACAGAATATGGCGTGATCCGTCACAATCGACCAAAGACGACAATACATGATTTTTAAATACTTACATTTAATTGGTCCTCTAAAAGAAAAGAAACCCCTAAGCTATAGCCGAAGATCGATGATACTTAGCGTAATTTTTGTTTTCAACTACCCATAAGTGACACCTAACATCTTAGGTGCCACATCACGGTATCATTTATTTTATTTAATTTTCAGCCGTGATAGTCCTACTCCAGGGCCAAGGCCTCCCTACCCTCCCTATATGTATAAAGCGTTTTGCTGCAAATCGTCCCGCCATCTTCTTTTAGGCCTGGCGCGACATCTATTAACTTTGAGCGGGCTCCACTAAGTGACTTTTATAAGGTTCTGGGATGGTTTGTGAAAACAGTCTTAAAAGTCCTGGATAAAAAAACTAATTTATTACAGTTTCAAACAAGTTCGTGAGTCCGGTCTACAATCAGCTCTGTCGAAGCGGTTGCAAGTCTCCAAGCCTCATTGCACGACCAAGATGTCCTCGTTCAGCAGTGTGGGGCTGATGGACATGCGGCCCGTGCTCATACTGATGCTGTATGGCGTCTGTTTGTCCGTGATCATCTTATTTGGAGAAATCGTCGTGTTTAGATTGTGAGTAGATAATTAATAATTATTTTTATCCATAACATAACATAATATAACATCACGCCTTTTATCCCCGAAGGGGTAGGCAGAGGTGCACATTACGCCACTGTACAATGTAACACCCACTTTTCACTATTTATATTATGAGTCCCATGTAATAGGGGGTGAGCCTAATGCCATATACCGGGCACAATTCCAGACTCCGTGCTACTGTTAAGAATTAAAAAAAACCCCGTAGTACTTTGCCCGACCCGGGAATCGAACCCAAGACCCCTTGCCCGGCAGTCGGACTTGCGACCACTCGGCCAACGAGGCAGTATTCTATAAAATGGGTAGGTAATTATATTCTATGGAAATAAAACAAAATAAATTGTGAATTAATAAATTTATTGTACAAGCAAGTTTGAAAACATATCCAATGCTTATTCTTAAACCGAAGACACATAAAATAAGTAACATAAGAAGCACATCGAAATCAAACCTGTGTACTTGCACTAAGTCTTTTCATCCATATCCCTAAGGTGTATGAATGACATTCATAAAAAACCTACCTAAGGAATTTTACTCCAAACCATCATCACGCCTTTTATTCTCAAAGGAATAGGTAAAGGTGTATCTGACACCATTCCGCCAGATGTTATAAGTAAATTACCATTAAACATTTCTCACTCAGTGTTATTATCGAGAATTTCGAAACAAAAAACCCAATAATACTTTTCCTGACTCGAGAATCGGACCCGAGTCTCAAACTTTAACACTCGATTTTCGTGCATACATAAATAAGTACGATTCTTGCGAAATCAATCAGCTATTGGTCGCTACAGAACTCGTAAGAACGTATTATAAACAAATTATTTTCACTACTCAAATAAATTACTACGACATGAAATTATTCATATAAATAATATCCCAGGTTTTGTAAAAGCGTTTCTTAACCTAATTGATACCATTGTTGAGCAAAAACCTCTTAAAAATATTAATATCATAATGCCAAACAATAATTTAGATTCTTGTCTAATTCACAGTTTTTTAAAGTAAAAAATGCGGTACAAGAGATGTTTTGCTCAACACTGGGATGACAAAATGCCATTGTTAAACTGATGTAGGGTATTTTCCAACTAGTCAATATTCAATAGTTATTTTGAACAGTTAAAAACGATAGTACTTAGTGAATTTTGTAGAAAATTCTGAGTTTTGATGTCTTATTTTTGCATCAAATAGCATACTATGTTCTCTAGAAAAAATTTGTAATTTTATTTGTATTCAAATCAATAAATATTCAGCACTAGTAAACCCGGCGAACTCCGTTTCGCCACCAGATGGCTTCGTTTTATGTGACATTTCGTTTGGTGATTAAAAGATGAAAAAAATTTTTTCCTGAGTTTTCTTAGCTATAAACCTCACGGAGCCCGAGACCTTTCCAACGAATGCAAAACCGTGGAAATCAGTTCGTGCGTTCTGGAGTTATGGCGTCAGGATCAGCAAGGAAAACCCGACTTATCTTTATAAAGTAGATTTTTATTCTTCCAACGTTACTAAACTTTGCGGAAATCCATACTAAACGAATACTAATTAATAAAAGTATGATTCTTGAAAATTTTAGTAGTTGAAACATTTGTATTGTAATTTTCGTGAGACATACTAAATAAATTATTATGTTTTCGGCTTACTCACGTAATAATTTGACGAGGAACTCGACTAGTTTCAAGCCATGCTAGAGGCTCATATTCATGAGCAGCATTTCGCGACCCGTGACGCGGCGACTGTCGCGAAATGCTGCTCATGAATATAAGTTGAAACATTGTTTTTGACTGCAGAAACTACCCAAATCAGTTGCTAAAGTTATTTCCTATGTAAACCACTAACATAGATTCACGTAACAAATAAATTAATTTGAAACTTTCAGTGACTACAGATATCATCAAGTTTGTTTCCCCAGGGGGTAGGCAGGTGCATAGAGTAACTCACTCTTAATGGAAAAATACTTAAACTCTCTTCACCTTTTTACTAACTAACTTGTTAACTAAAAGTATCATTCATAAAAGACCAATAAACCGTTTATAGTCAAAGTCAAACATATTTATGTCAATTATTCCATACCCTTTTATCCCGTCACCGGTGACCGGTGACCGCTCTCCATTAAACTGTCAAACACCAAGCGGTCACCAGTGACCGCAACCTATTGTTCTTTAATTGTGTCTATAAATACGGTACTCGACGAGTTAACTCCATTATAGACCTTATTTCCAATGTTTAGAGACTACTTTTGTATGAACAAATTTGGGGTACGACATTTTAACAGGATACGCACTTTGGAAACGTTAAAATTGACTTGTCCGTTAGTCTTTCTGTTACTGAAGCTATAGTTAGCCGATTACAAACTGTCACGTCAAAGGAATTTAACAATGCCACACAACTCGATAGGTGCGAGCGAGATATTTGACAAAAATAATTTATGACAGTCCTCTGATACATTATTTAAAGCAAATTGTTTTCTAGCGTGTTAGTAATCTAAAGCTTATTTTTTTTTGTTGTATACACGTCCTCCTTCTGCAAATCCGCCGTATACTTGGTAGGTCTATATATATTTTAATTGATCTCAACAGACTGTCCGACTTTGATGCCGTACTGAGTTGTGACGTGTTGAAGAACTTAGGGATCTGCGCCGCCCATATATCCACAACACCAGAGGAGACATTAGTGTTACTTTATCACCCGACTGAAGGAAGAGTATTGTTTTTGAATAATTTCCTTCCATTTTCCTAATCGACCTTGATTAAAAGTATTTCTATAACCGACATTGGTTTATTGCGCTTTCATGAATAAAACTGTTAGGTAATTACATCGTTCCGTTCGTAAGTCAAAGTTTATATGTATGTACAGATAATTTGATAAGAATATTGTATTTAATAAATAGTTCTTTCTTTTATCTCTAAAGAGGTAGAAATAGTTTAAGGCTTATACCATAGGTATATTACTATATTTCAATTGAAACGTTAGCGTACATTTCATCAACATCATGACAACTTTCGCATATGAAAAAGGCCACTACAGAAATAACTTGCACGGTTCTCACACATAATCTGTTATACATAATATTGTCCGACTTTAAAAGAGACAGACCTCTGAGTTTGTTTCGGCATTTCTTCTCAGAGTAGTCAGTTAGGAAATGTCGACCTCATCTTTCGCTTGATAAAATTGACGTGTAAAAGTGCTGCCTTGTAGCCTATTTGCAGAAATAAATTCACTTGTTTCACTTGTACATTATTTAGCAGGACATTAACGCCATTTAGTTAGCGCAACAACAAGAGTCCTCTTTTCCAACACATTTTGGAATAACAAGACTAAAATCTACATGAGCGCCATCTAGGCATAAAAACTTCCAACTTACTTTTTAAACTGTCAAACACCGCGAGGATACGGGTGACCGCAACCTATTGTTCTTTAAACTGTCAAACACCAAGCGGTCACCGGTGACCGCGACCTATTGTTCTTTAATTGTGTCTATAAAACCGGTACTCGACGAGTTAATTGTGTCTATAAATACGGTACTCGACTAGTTAATTGTGTCTATAATGACGGTACTCAAGGGACATAGTTTAACTTTGACATTACGAACGTTAACAATCACATGTCTACCTTCCTAGTCACCTATTTAAGTAGATCGCTGTCTTCAGCTAGAGTCTTCTCCTTGACGAGTTTGTTTAGGTGGTCGATGAGTCCCTGGATGGACATCTCACCGTGTACCTTGTTATCTCGCGTGCGCACGTTGACAGTGCCTGATTGTTTCTCTCTGTCGCCCACAACTGTAAATAAGAAGAAACAATAAATATTTACAAATTGTTGTTAATATTAGGTGTCTTAAATGCGTCCACCACACTTTTGTCGTCAATATTTTATTAAATTTCAAATTCAATATTTTTATTGTAATGTCAAAAACGATATGTTTCTATGAATTTTGTATTGGATCGCAACTTATGACGTCATCATATTGCTGCGTCAAACAGCATACTTATTTCCTTAAAATGTGCGAGAAAAAATCCAAAAGTAGGTAAATTGTCAAATCAATGGATGAGAGTATGATTATTTTTTAATGGTTTATTGCATTGAAAAGTTGAAACAATTTATTGTAAACCTAGGAAACTAGCTAATTCTTGAATATACTTTTATGCTTCTGAATAGACCATGTCCAGCAGTGAACAAAACCGAGCTCATGATGATGATCCACTATTTGTCAATTAAGAACGAGGGTTTTGGTCGCAAAATGCTACGAGTTTCGTTCGTGTATTGAGACACAAATGCCATTTCAATTTTTAAAACCAAAAATATCACCTATATTGTGACTGCCTCGTTAGCCGAGTGGTCGCAATTTCGACTGCCGGGCAAGGGGTCTCGGGTTCGATTCCCGAGTCGGGCAAAGTACAGTAACACAGAGTCTGGAATTGTGTCCAGTATATGGTAATAGGCTTACCCCCCTATTACATGGGACTCATAAGATAAATAGTGAAAAGTGGGTGTTAAATTGTTCAGAAGCATTAAATGCCGTAATGTGCTCCTTTGAGGATAAAAGGCGTGATGTTATGTATGTATACGTGTATTTTGACTAACTCAAAGTAGACAAATACTATGAGATCTTTTACAATCTTTATGCACATTTGTTAGTTCCCATTAAATTCACACATAATTAAGGTCAAACAAACAGACAAATAATAATACAAATAACTAAATAAACAGTATCTTACCCAATATGTAGTTGAACTGCGCTAGTTGTGCGTTGCGGACTTTCTTGTTGAGCGTGTCGCCGGCGTCCGTGTCCACTTCTGACATGAAACCAGCTGCGAACAGTTCCTTGTTCACCTGGAAATTATTATAAACATTTTAGTTCGAAGCTCTGTATAATAAATTATGCACACTAACAACCACTTGGCACTCGAACATATTTTACATTCGTTACATCACAAGTACCTACTACAAAAATGTAGTGTTTTGTGACGTCACACGATATTGCAAATCAATATATCGTCGAAAATATTTAATTTTGTGAGAAAAGAAAAAGTACGTGTCTAATGTTTTAAATTAACCTACTAGATGGACAGACAACTTAGAATTTGTGAAAAATATTACTCAAAGTTTAGTTTTACATATAAATAAGAAGTTTTCGTATTCTACAATTGATTTTTATCTCAATTCCAGAGGCGGGTATACGTTCGACGCTCTGATTGGCCGGCTTCAATGAACCAACCAATTAGAGCTCCGAACGCGGTCTCGTTTCGATTACTTTAAAACAAAGTCGTATTAAGGCCTCAAATTCCATACTACGACAAACTGAAATCAAATATTACTTCTTGTTATTGACTATGTCTGACTTGAGAATCCTATCTTCCACCCGTCTACTAATAAGAAAGTATACCCTTCTCCAATCAATAGTAATTTCAAGAGAACGAATAATAATTCACATTTATCTTCTATTCCCTGTTTCTTCTGTTATCTTCTATAGCCTGAAACACGGGGTTAAATAAACCTAGTTCGGCTAATCCCTATATATACTTAGAACATTATTTCCTCGCATATATATTGTATAAGACTAGATTAAGTAAACTATTACGAGTGTTATTATTAAGACTTTTTATTACTATAAAATCTGAGCGAACTGTAATTGTAAATGTGTTCTATGTTGTTTTAATAAATTTATTGTTTTTTTTTTATTATTCCAGAACTGATCCTCAACAATAGCACAAAAGACTAACCTGCACAGCATAATCATCGAAGCTGGGACCGACGGGCACAACACAGACTTGTCGTGGACTGAGCCAGAATGGCCACTTCCCAGCGTATGACTCGCTGAGGATGGCGATCATTCGCTCCACTGAACCTAAGATAGCTCTGTGGATGATCACTGGACGTTTCTTGTCGCCACTCTCACTGAAAATTTAGAAATAAAGAACTATTAAAAACAATGTGTTTATTTTCTTCACTATTTTACTACCTAAATATGCTAAAATTTTTGAGGTAGAAGTATTGTACGTTTGTAACTCTTTTGTGCAAAAAATACTGATTTTAAACTAATACATACTCATAGAAGTAATCATTTCTCAAGTATCACTCCATCACTAGTGGACTTACAATAACAATTTGATCTATTTTTGAGTTCATCGACGACAAATGTCTGTCTGTTTTTATAATAACTATCGTGAGTCATACTGAGACATACTTGAGGGTAGGGCAGTTAGCCCTATACCAAAGCGGTCATCAGTGACGCTCTCCACTTACTCCATTATAGACCTTATTTGCGATGGTTATAGACTATTGTGGATTTTAAATAAGCGTGGATCAAGAATGTAACTAAAAATGACGATTTGCTCTTAAGTATAGTTCTGTCAATACAAATTGTAAAAAGAGAGAGATGGCACGATATTAAGTACAACTTTAAATTGAGTAGCCTTTTACTACTCTGGTGTTACACACGCAAATATACTGAGAAAAGCTCTACTAGTTTCGAGTCACAGTGGGACTCTTCCTCATGAGCAGCGTGCGCGGTCGCGGCGATGTCACGCAGCCTACCGACCGCTGTGACTCCAAAAGAGTGGAGGATTTCTTAAGAGCCTACTCTATTTATGTTGTGTACCTGTGGTATAGTCTATGGTCATAGTATAGTCTGTGGTAATAGTTGATTTGTGGTGCGTGGCTGAGCCCGTGAATTTATAAAAGACTTAAGATGCATTAAAACAGTGTGTCAATAGCATTCACTCGTTTTACAATTTAAATATATCAGTAACAGACGCTACCCACTTTAATTTATCAATATCTAAGTTATCCTCACCTAACATAGGTAAGGTTGAATCTCTCCGGCAGTTGGAAGTCGAGTTGTATAGTAGCGCACTGGTGCGACCGGCGCAGTGCGTCCTGTATAGTGATGTCGATCTTGGGTCCGTAGAACGCGCCGTCGCCTGGGTTCAACTGCCATGGACGACCGAACTTGTTGAGGGAATCTTCTAACGCCTGTGAAAGTGTAAACATTAATTAGAAATAAATATGACAAAAATCCCCGAAAACACTTTACGCTTAAATTCAATAATACCTTTTGATTGACGTACACATTTGTTTATATTATTACATATAAATTAATTGGGATGATGACTGGGTATGAAAATTAAAAATCTAATTAGTCCGTAAGTTAGGTAATGAAAAACACTAGACACGTATTTTTTTTATTTTGTTGTGTAATAAAATAATACTTAGATATAACGAATCAAAGTTTAGGAGTGAGGGCTAAAACGTCATTTCTACGTATAAAATGTACATAGTTTATTTTGTTGTGTAATAAAACAATACTTAGATAAACGAATCAAAGTTTAGGAGTGAGGGCTAAAACGTCATTTCTACGTATAAAATGTACATAGTTTATTTTGTTGTGTAATAAAACAATACTTAGATATAACGAATCAAAGTTTAGGAGTGAGGGCTAAAACGTCATTTCTACGTATAAAATGTACATAGTTTATTTTGTTGTGTAATAAAACAATACTTAGATATAACGAATCAAAGTTTAGGAGTGAGGGCTAAAACGTCATTTCTACGTATAAAATGTACATAGTTTATTTTGTTGTGTAATAAAATAATACTTAGATATAACGAATCAAAGTTTAGGAGTGAGGGCTAAAACGTCATTTCTACGTATAAAATGTACATAGAAGTGACGTCACGCGACATTTCAAATCAATATATCGTTAAAGTATTCGTTTCTGTAAGAAAATAAAAAATACGTGTCTAACCAGACGCACATTAAAATAAAAATTATGCATCTACCCTATTATGAGGTTTTCAGCTTACTCAAGTTTGACGAGTCCGGGTCGCGGAATGCTGCTCGTGTATGCCTCTAGCATAGCTTGAAACTAGTCGAGTAGTCCTTGTCAAACAGTTGCGTTAGTAAGCCGAAAATATAATAATTACTGACGTATGCATTTATACACTTTACGCGCGACCCGACACGAATATTTTAATTCTTGTTTGTTCCAAGTACTATTTTAAAGTTTTTTCTCATTTAAACGGATTAGTCAAGTCGTACCAAATGATATGACTAAATTCTCTGGTGTATTTTATTACATTTAAATCGAAACGTGTATTAAAACTACGTCTACCCTTCATGGCAGGCCTGAGAGTTAACAACTACATTTTAAAAATCAGTTATTGTGCATAGAATAGTACATTACAGTACCTTTTCAGCCTGATCCCAAGTGGCAAGGTCTCCGAGGTACTTCTCTGGTCTGGTGGACAGCTTCAGCTGGAACGTGAACCCGAACGTCGAGTACACGCAGTCAAGGAAGTCCAGACACGATAGCTGAAGGAAAAGACAAACTTGAATGAATAAATAAATAAAATAAAAACACAATAACCACTATAGACTTTTCTTTTCAATTTGTTTTTTTATAGCATAAGCCGGTAAGCAATCGGCGCCGCCCATGTACACTCGAAACACCAAGGCGTTACCGGCCTGGGAATTGGGAATTTGAGGATAGTGGAGGATTCGGGGATTCGGGAGACGGGGACTAGGAAGGGGGGTAATTGGGCCTCCGGTAACCTCACTCACACGACGAAACACAACGCAAGCGTTGTTTCACGCCGGTTTTCTGTGAGGCCGTGGTATAACTCCGGTCGAGCCGGCTCATTCGTGCCGAAGCATGGTTCTCCCACACAAATATTTTTTTTTATTTTGAACGAAAACTCGCGAGATATGTTAAAGTGCTTTCGAACTATACATAGGTATTTCTAATACTAATACAAAAAAAACTGGACTCGTACTAAAAAAATCTGTTATCATTACCGAGTTTACGTTTTAGGGATTAAAATATTCTCCTTTTTAATTTTATATTACTTGGAATTATTCGAGAGGGACTTAGAACACCTTCATATTTAAATTCATTTATTCATTGTAGATTATAGATAGGTAAGAAAGAAAGAAAAAAACATTTATTCAGCACCAGGCACGATGCAGCATAAATCCTTACTAATATTATAAATCGGAAAGTGAGTTTGTTTGTTTGCTTGTTTGTTCCGCTTTCACGCTGTAACTACTAAACCGATTGCTTTGAATTTTTGCAGACGTAAAGTTAGAAGGTCTGATTAAATAATAGGGTACTTTTTATCCCGGAAAGATTTGATATTCCCGAGGAAAAAAAAGTATTGGTATAGATGGCACTGTGTGTATTGGTATGTCACATAGGCTACTTTTTTATCCTTTCGTGACGCGAGCGAAGCCGCGGGTAAAAGCTAGTAAAATATAAAAAAGACAATAAAGATGTGACAGTGGAAGTAATAAAAACATTCGAGTTGAAAAATTAGAACAGAAGAATTAGAAGAGAGACGCTGACAACATGCCTATGCTAATGGGTCACCCACTCAGTACATAATACAGTAAGTTGTTATCATAATTTGGTTGAGTGAAGTTAGCGCCTTCAAGTACAAATTAGCAGTAAAGCATATATTAGTAAGCAACTTACCATCTCCTGTTCAATATGCGCGGGCGCGCAGAAAATATGCGCGTCGTCCTGCTGGAAGCGGCGCACGCGCGTGAGTCCGGTGAGCGCGCCCGACAGCTCGTTGCGGTGCAGCACGCCGAAGTCTGCCAACCGCAGGGGCAGCTCGCGCCACGAACGGATCCGGTTGTCGAACATTAAACTGTGCGAGCACAGGTAATTGGACATTTATTTCATGTAACAGTTGTTCATGAGTATGAGCCCCAAGTGTGACACGAAAAAAGTCGAGTCATATAGTGTAACAGAAATATTGCACAGATCAATTCAGAACATTTTATCTCTATCGCTTTGTTGCAAATCTGGGAACATCTGGCGACATGCTTATAAGGCATTTTGGTATGTAAAATTGATGCAGGTTCATCATCAGACATTTACAACACAATTACAATTTATTAGCTAACTAATCAAACACGAAGTAATAACATGTATTTAACATGAGTGTTGTAAGTTCATTTAATTTTTTTTTAAACCGTTGCCCCACACTTGGATTTTCTCCTGTGTTGTGGGTGCGTTTACAAACATACAAGTTCACATACACATGACACCCAGACCCGAAACAACAATTTGTGGATCACATAAAGTGTTGTTTCATGCGGGAGTCGAACCCGCGACACGTTGATCAGCAGCCGGTTACCCAGCCACCGCACCAACCGTGCAGTCGAATTCTGACACTCGACTGACACTCTGACGGTCGAGTTCTGAGAATTGTCGTTGGTTCTTTTTTATTGAATTTGGAATGTGGTTGATTAAGATATTTTGGACTACTAAAAACGTACTGATTTTAAAAGATATCACACATAGAGTTAGGAAACAAATAGATATGCGCTTACCAATGTCCAGGACAGTTCATAGGCTTCAGAGCGAAGGTTTCCTTCTCGACGTCGAATGAGAACATGTTCTCCGCATAGTGAGCCCAATGGCCCGACGTCTGCCACAGCTTCGAGTTGTACATGTTCGGGGTTACAACTTCTTGGAAACCACGGGATCTAGGTCGATAGAAAGTGATATTGTTAGATATTATTGTGATGCACTTACCTATACAATCTACAAAAAAAACAATTTTTATGATGATAAATGAAACTTTTATATTCAGAGTTTTATACCTGAATATCACCGACAGTTGCAAAACATTTTTTTAACCCCTCGAGCATCCGCGTTCCTTATGATCCAACGGGTGCACACGTGACATTAGGAGCATTTTTTCTTATGATCCACCGGGTGCTCATAAGGACGCTCGAGGGGTTAACAAAGATCACGCTTATTGTTTTTTATTTCGTGGGCCGACGTTTGTCCACTATCTCGCCTGGTGGTAAGCGATGATGCGGTCTACGATGGAGCACGTCGTCCCATAAGCAACCTATTCATTCGGATCTTGAAGACACCCAGGTTATCCCCTCTAGCAAAGAATTCTACTTCTTAACAGTACGCATATTCAAACCAGATACCATATTTTACTCAGCAGTCGCGAATGATAAACTAATAAAATGATTTAAGATAGGTTAATTTCCTTTAAGCAACTTCAAAAAAAGGAGGACATCAATTCATTTATGTTTTTATCAAAACCCATTCTTTCAATATGACGTCAAAATATTTGCTTTCAGATAACTCGTAATGAGTATTTGCCATTAACATGTCAACTTAATCAAGCCACAGATAATGAAATACCTGAGTGGTTGATAATCGATAAACATCTACTATAGCAGTATAGACCAATAATATATATGTTATCTATGGTTTAGATTACTATGTTTATATTGTGTTTGATAAAATATGGTCCCCTATGTTAGGTTATATCTTTCGAATATTATATATTTTTTATAGCCCACTTCAATAATTCTAGGGTTGAGTAAAAAATACTACTTGTCACTGCATAGTATAAAACAAAGTCGTTATCCTTCGTCTGTCTGTCCCTATGTATGCTTAAATCTTTAAAACTATGCAACGGATTTTGATGCGGTTTTTTTTAATAGAGTGTTTCTTCAGGAACGTTTATATGTATAATGCATATTGCACCCGTGTGAAGCCGGAGCGGGTCGCTAGTTTTATATAAATGTCTATTTACTGCTGCCGCTGCCACTATCGCATTGTAGTCGGTAATGTGGCTGCTGTGTTGTGTTGACTTTGATTCTCGGGTCGAGTAATTTTAGGCTTTAAATTTTTTGCATAATCTTTATTTTTCTTATTAGATGTGCCGTCGTTTGACCACTATCTCGTCTGTTGGTAAGCGATGATGTGGTCTACCCCTTTAAAGTTCAACAGGCATTATATAAGCGTACACTCACCTATATTGTTCTCTAATAAAGTTGACGAGGGTATTGTAGATGTGAGCACCACGCGGCTGGAAGAAACAAGATCCAGGCGACAGCTCGTGGAAGAAGAATAACTCTTGTTCCTGTAACAATAAAGATCACATTCGTGTGTTAAAAGGGAATAGCAAGTCTATTTAACATTCGGACAGTTCAAAGGAAAATAGCTATTGGTGATGTAGCAATAAAGATTAAATTCGAGTGAACGCAAGACAGTCTGAATAGCCAGCCTTTAAACATTAAAAACGTAAGTCGAAGAAGTATAGAACTTTAGTTACTATACCAATAAAGATCATATTCATGTCATCGTGTGTTATGTAAACCTTTTGAGCAATTTTGAATATAGAGCGAATTGTAAGTGGCAAAGATGACGCACTAACTGACTGTTCCATTTCTTTTTTTTTCAATAGGTTAGTTGCCAAGGAATGTAAATTACAAATCTAATTAGTCCGTCTGTTAGATAATGAAAAAATATTAGACATGTATTTTTTTAATTTTCTCGTATAAAGTTAGAAGTGGGAGGTCGTTACGTCACCAAGTGCTACAAAATGTAGCGTATTGTGACGTCACACGATATTTCAGATTAATATAAAGTTTTTAATTTTGTGAGAAAAGAAAAAATACGTGTCTAATGTTTTAAATTAATCTACCAGACGGACATTAAAATATACTCCAGGCAGCTATGTAACTGTAACTAATAGGGTATTAGTTACAGTTACATTGTCTAAAGATAGGTCCCTACTATTGCCTCGGAACTAGTTTTAGATAACTTACAGTCTGAACAACTACTGAACCATTGCACTAGTAGGTACATACCTTGCCAATCTTCCTATGGTCCCTCTTAGCAGCTTCCTCCTGTATATGCTCCCACTCCTTGAGCTGCTTGGGCTCCGGGAATGACACTCCATATACTCGCTGCAGACTCTCCGCGTCTGCCTTACCCTCCCAGTATGTAGCAGAGTTCTACAAGCACATATTGTTATTAAAGAAGCAGAATCCTTACTAATATTATAAATCGGAAAGTGAGTTTGTTTGTTTATTTGTTCCGCTTTAACGCCGTAACTACAAAACCGATTGCTTTGAATTTTTGCAGATGTACAGTTAGAAGTCTGGATTAAATAATAGGGTACTTTTTATCCCGGAAAAATTTGATATTCTCGAGGGAAAACGAAATTATTGGTATAGATGGCGATGTGTGTATTGGTTGGTAGCCTATATGTCATATAGGCTACTTTTTATCCTTTAGTGACGCGAGCGAAGCCGCGAGTAAAAGCTAAAGCTTAGTTATGTTATGTATGAGACTTTGAGATCCGTGTATTGAGGGTGAATTTATTGTTACATTTTTATACAACTTTCGATGAAGAAGTAAGATAGTAACGAATGGAGTTTCTTGCTCGTTCTTATGCATTCGAATCTACATTTTGGAACGAGCACCTAGCTTCACTGACGGACAGACTGACAGACTATTATTTATTTTGTATTTGTTGACGTTTCAGAAGATAATGTTGTAACTTTATTAATAATTTTGTGTCTTGTGTCTTGGGAATGTGTATGAATAAACTATGTTTATTATTGACCATACATCACTGTGCAAGCTTCTTTGTTTTGATGATATTTGTCCGTCAATCACGATGAAACTACTGAACAGGTTTTAATGGGTATACACATACAGGCAGGGTATGAGATGACTTAGGTGATACTTTTTATCCTGATCAAATGCTCTCATGGGATAAAACTGTACTATTAATATGCTGCGTACAGAAACAACTATCGGTAATTCAAAACCAACATACCTTAGTGACCTTCAGCGCCTTGACCTTCCCCGTATGTCTGACATGGGGTCCCCTACAAAGATCAATAAGGGGTCCACATCGATACACCGTGGTCTTAGGCGTGTTCACTTTCTCGTTCAAAATGCGTACTTTAAACGGATTGTAGTCAAACATTTCTAATAATTGTTCCTTCGTCAGTTCTAAACGTTCAAACGGTTGTTTTTCCTTTGCTATTTTCTTCACTAATCCTTCTAGAACGTGGAAGTCCGTTGATGATATCTGGGAAAGAAAAAGAGTATTTAGTAAACGGCTTGCCTAAGCAAAAGAGCAGGTTGATTGCGCCACGACACCGCGCCGCGCACGCTGCTCATGATTAAATCCCGGTGCGACTTCTAACTGGTAGAGATTTTCTCAATTGACGGTTGATTTCGAGAACCGATTAATCCGAAATAATAGTAGGTGCATTGCATAGTTAGATTTCTAGCTTAGAGCTGGTTAAGCTAGTCTATACAAGTTGTCGCGGAGAAGGTAACGGATTACCGGGGCTCCGTCTCGAAGTGCAGAAGAAGGAATGGGGTGGTTTTTAGTCAGTAAGAGTCTGACACTCCCTCCCGCCTCACCCAGGCGGGAGCAGTAATTCGATGATTTTCCCCCTTAAAATAAAAAAAGTCTATAAAGCAAAAACTTCATTGCATGTTATATATGTGAAAACTTACCCCCTTCTCAGGATAGTACATGTCGTAGTAGAAGCCCTCTTCGATGGGAGGTCCGTAGCAGAGGCAGCCTCCGTATACCTATAGAAAACAATAGAAAACATGAAATGAGGTAGTAAATACATCAAAACTTTTTCATCAAATTAAGCTGATGTCCAGTAGTGACCGTCTTATGACGGTATTTCAGACGCTAAGAATTTCTTCAACGTCAAATTTACAAAGTTTTGTTTCGTGCGGGAATTGAACCCACATTAGATAGCGCGGCAGCCATTTATCCAGCCACCAAACATCAATCAAAAAATAATATCTAGAATCAAAAACGTAGCCCAGAGACCTTGACTAACAACAAACAAAAAATTATAATACCTAGGTATACACTTATACAGCATGTTTCCTCTGCGTGACTCACAATGTGGCACATTGCAATTTAGACGAGACGAGGCGGCACACGTGGTTAACAATTTTTGAAAATTTGACCAACATAACATAGCCTTTATATCCTCAAAAAGGTACCTAGGATGCGATGTATCACCATTTATGTTATGTGTCCCATAATTATTATTACAATGCGAAACTACGTGCTATAACTGAGTTTTATCCCTACGGCCGGTCGCGGAGAACCTAACGGGTAACCGGCTCGACGTGCAGGAGAACGAACGGGGTGGTTTTTAATCAGTAAGAGTCTGACACTCCCTCCCGCCTCGCCCAGGCGGGAGCAGTAACTCGATGATATTCCCCCCTTAAAAAAAATTCCTACGGCCGATCTCTCCGGCCGTGTCAGGATTGCCGTGGCGTTCGATTACATTATGAGGGACAGAAAGTGTTCTTATTTTTACACACACACTTCTGTATTAGGTATATCCTTTATAGTAGTCGTCTATGTGATGAACGACAATCGAAATCGGCGATTTATAATTCATAATTACTAAACGTATTTTAAATTGAAAACTAGGTCGTGAGTGACATGGATCGTAAAAAGAAGTGTGCACTTCTGTTATTGCTTAAGAGATACAGGAAAAAGAAACAAAGAAGATTTTGGGAAGATAAGACTTTGATGCGCGATGCGAATCAATTCGCAAGTTCTTGCGATGCGTAGATGGAGCTCGCACATTTTTGCATTGCGACGTCGGCGCCGCAGCTACGCACTACAATAAAAATAATGCCAGATTTAGAAACTCACCCTCTCCATAGCTTCTCCCAACATATGAGCCGACGAATGCCAGAACACTGCTTGAGCATCTGTGTTGTCCCATCTCAGGAGTTCCAGCTTGCAGTCACCTTCCAAAGGTCTGTCCAGGTCCCATAGCTCATTGTTCACTCGTGCGATGATGGTGGAGTCGGCGAGACCCTGGCTGTGATGGAGGACAGTCATCATGAGGGTCGGATGTGGAAATATAGGGTGGAACTTGTTGGATTGGCTTTGTACTGGGATTGCTGAAGACTGAAGGTTTTGGAGATGTTATGGTCAGTTTAAGTTGATCTGTTAAAACCTTGCAGATAAAATTAGATATTTTCAAATAAACCATTGTTAAAGGACATGGATATGCGGCTCAAAATAAATACAAGTTTATGTTATTCAAATTTTTAATGTTGCATATTATTAGTGCACTTGAGAATGGTTATTAAGCTTCATACATACTACATCTATGTATAGTTATACATTTATATTCCGATAGCAAACATTGTCATTTTATCTCTAAAACGACTATGCAGTAAACAAAGTTTTTGAAAACAATGACTGCATTATTTACTTCAAGTATTAAAATACGTAAATTGATAACAGTTCATATTTTGTCTAGGTCATTCATGTTTCATTTAACTTAGGCAGTTCACATACAAATTGCCAGTTTTCCTATTTCACAATACCTATCTGATCGATCCCCAAGTGGGCACCGGTGACCAATCTCCATTAAATCCATTATAGACCTTATTTCCGATGTTTAGAGACTTCTTTTGTATGGATAAGGTTTGGGGATTTATATCAAGTAACTATTTAAAAGTGCCATTTACGTTGACACCTCACTGGAGGATTTTTGGAATAATATTACTAGTCAATAAAGATGAACAAATATACTGAAATCTATGTATAGTATAGTTACAAGCGGAATAGTATATAGTCTCATGAACATTATAAACATCAAGAACAGCAACAAGCAGTATATATGTATTATGTATAATAAATATGTAGTATGTATGTATAGACATGCTGCACACAGCCATTTGATATACATAGCATGCATAGTAAACATGTCTTTTCTTTAGTTCTCAAAAAGATTTCTTATAGGTAATAAATAGTTAAAGAACTTCAATAAGAAAATCCTGCATATCTATATATTATATAAAAATCCCTTTTCCCTTAGTCAAGGCATCACGCGTGAATGGCTGGACCGATTTCACTAATTCTTTTTTGTTGTATTTGTTATTATTAGAAGAAGGTTCTTATGACAGAAAAAATACTAAAAATCCTACGGGAACGGGAGAAAACTGGAATGCGCGTACGAAATCGCGTGCAGAAGCTAGTCCTTACTAATATTATAAATCGGAAAGTGAGTTCGTTTGTTTGTTTGTTTGTTCCACTTTCACGCCGTAACTACTAAACCGATTGCTTTGAATTTTTGCAAACGTGAAGTTAGAAGTCTGGATTAAATAATAGGGTACTTTTTATCTTGGAAAAATTTGATATTTCCTAGGAAAAACGAAATTATTGGTATAGATGGCGCTGTGTGTATAGGTATATGTCACATAGGCTACTTTTTATCCTTTTGTGACGCGAGCGAAGCCGCGGGTAAAAGCTAGTATAATATAAAATAAGAATTTATATAGTTAGTAAAACAAGCCTTCTAGAGTTGCAGGTACTAAATGCAACTCCAACTGTCCATACAAATCCTACATAGGACTATCCCGATATATCAAGCATTATATCAATCTTCAAACTGTTACTTTGGAATATTATTGGGTTTCCCAATAGTATACAACTATACTACCCAACAAATTTAATAATATATTTTGATATTATAGTTCAAATAAAGGGCATAATACTATCATACTATTAAATAAATATCAACCATGCCTCAGCGGTTATTATAACAATACAGATTATATAGATTATGGATATATTTCAGTGCAAGCCATCGCAACAGTCCACCCTTAGGTAATGTACTTACTATTCACTCCACCACTCGCTTGTGTGCAGGTAAATAAGTAATTAATCATTATTTATTGATCTAGCAACATTCTAAACAAGAGTATAGCAACACTTGATAAATAGAATTAGATATACAAATTATCTATGTATTCGACTGAACAACTTGTATCTATGGTCATGAATAAAATTATTAAAAAAAAGAATTCGATATTCGAAAATCGAATCAAGAATGCTGAATGAATGTGGTGAAGGCTCAGTGATGACCCTGACCTACTTTGGGAAAGTCAAATCTAAAAAGAATGTTTCTATTATCTCTAAGTTTGTAATGAGAAATACTATAAATGTGATGATAGAAAAATATGTGTCATCATAGATGGTACTCTATAGCTTCATCCCACCTCCATGTGAGAAAGGATAATTTTAAATGTAATAATTAATGTGGTAGGCTGGTGTGCATAGGTAATATAAAAGGTGTTATAGAAATGTAAATTTTACTGTTAAAATTAAAATACTTTAACTATGTACATTAAAAAAAATTAACAGTAACCCATAATAAAACATAAAACATTATTAAGTTGCAAAATTATAATTAGATTGTGATAAAACATACAAAATATAAGAAAACTTTATCTCAATGCGATGTTTATTAGTCATACTATGATATAAAAAAAATATTTTGTAAACACTAATCTGGGTCATGAACAAATTGTATGTCAAAGTTCATCAAATTATGCTCAGTTGTTCTCGAGCGTGTTACAAAGACACATAGTTCCATATAACATTTTTACATATTAATAAAAATAACAGGTAAATATGTAACGGAATTCCAAAAAAGTCAGACACCTACACACTCATGGGGATTTTTGCTTATCACATTTAATAATAAAATTTCCAACAAACTGTTAGTCACGATATCAATCTAATCTACAAAACCTTAATATAGGAAGTACAGTACTCAATATTTGATTAAAAATATCTATTATACTAACTGAATATCAAGGAAAAGATGTTAATAATATATGTATGTATGGTGATCATCAGTGTACCAGCAGATCAAACTATCCTTTTTTGCCAAATTTCTTCTATTACATTGTCAACTTAATTGTATTGACATACAGTTGACAATCCAAGGAACACCACTGTACACTTGAAGTTGGCTTATGAAATATGAGGAAACTATTGCATACAATGTTGAGTGGGTTGCATGCTTGTATTGTATTAATGATTGAGAGGCATGTCTTATGCAAAAATGTGTGTGTGTGCGTGATTGTGTGTAGTCAACTTTCTTTAATACTGAAAATTGGTGAAAGTAGGTGTCTTTTGAGATATTTAGGTCAGTGGATCGTCTTAGGTGTCAAGTTTAACTTTAGCTACAATTTGACATGAAATACTTAGGTAAATGTGTTGCTTTTCTATAGGGAACAAGATACTGTAGGATTATATTATATATTTTAAACGCCTACTCAGTTCTTTTGGTATGAATTTCATTTAAACTCTAGTTTAATTACATTTTAATCAATAACAAACTTGTTTATTGACGTTTTTAAGATTGTAAACATGGAATAGAAAATAAAACTCACCTAATTCCTTTAGCAACGTCATATGGAGAAGTTTTCCAGGCTTTAGCTTCAACAGTTTTACCATCAGGTAACGTCACAACAATGCTGACATCAGGTTTGTTAGCCAGTTCCTCTTCGTACTGAATTTTAAACTTATCCCATAGAGTGATACGTTTCTGTATGTACTCCGGCCATGGGTTCAGTTCTGCAGCTCCACCGGAACCTTCCTCCGCTTTTTTCTTTTTTTCCTTCATGGCTTTAGCCTTTGACTGTAATTAATTTATTAATTAATATCTTTGTAGTTTTTTGTAAACATAAACATTTGTTGGACAATTCTTTCTACAATGGATTGTTGTAAATAAATAAATTACACAAATAGGTATGTTGTACGAAATTTAATATTTGTTTGTTAGCCAGTATAACAAGACACTGAAAATCTAATTAGAATCTTGAAAGTGGAATTTATAGCAGGGACATGGCAATGACAGTTGAAGATGTTTATGAAAACATAATTTTCTTATTAGATAGCCACTTTCCCTGGCAAAACAACTACGCAAAGACTGATATTTAGTAAAGTAATTACGTAAAAATGTATAATTTACACAGATGTAAGTCACAATCACAGTTCACATCACTTTAATAACCTAGCGAATATTTTGCAACATATTTTGATCCGAAACTATGAGAAACACAAACTATTTTGGCTCTTCTTGTAAGTTTACACAGATTACAGATAATAACAACTTAGGTACAAAAAAAAATAAACGCAGGCAAAGGAAACCGCATGATAATCGTTCCAGCAAAAAACGCTGATGAAATTCCTACAGACCCATGTGGCATATGCGTAGTCCTTGCAGCGGACCACACAGCCCCCACGGATGCCGATAAACTTTAACATTTCTTACATAACGTACTAATATACTTTTTCAAACTAAATATAATGTATAAAACCCTGCCTTTGAGTCAATGTTTAGTTTTTGGATTTCCTCAGCAGCGGTGTCACCCATTGCAGAACGTGTCTTTCGAATTTGACATCCGGGACTAAATGTTGCCAGCGATGGCACGTACTATTAAGTATTTTGCACTCCGTTCCACGTAACGATACTGTTAATTTTTGTTAATATTTAGGAAAATCTTTAGTCTACTGAGAAAATACTTAACGTTTTTATTTAAATACCTTAGATCATCAGTTAAGAATAGCGGCATTTAAGACAAAAAAAAATTTGTGCTCTACACAAGTCATTTATGCTTGATATCTTTTATATATTTTTTCAATCTTTATTTAGCATTTTAATCGCCTTATTATCGAATACAAAATTCAATACGTTAGTAAGTATACTAAAATAAAGCAGTAAACCATTTAACTAGCCCTTAAGTTTAAACATAAAATAATTAAACGATACAATTTTCTAGCCTCAGATGACAATGGTGACGTTAAAACACTGTGATAAAAACCAATTTTAAAGCTTTTAAAACTACAGACTTGATACCTCTGAGACTCACTACGTCGACAGTCATACAAAATATGTTACACCTCCTCTGCTACATCACACACACAGCACAATTGGGTGATTTGAGTCATCTTCAATCATCAATCATGGACTTTTAGGAACCAGGAACTTTTAGGGAGTTGGGTAGGGATTTAAGAATTTGTGATGGGAGAGAGTCTTCCATTAAACCTCATTTACTCAGTGAAACACAACGCAACCATTGTTTCACCCCTTTTCTAGCAGGCCGTGTCACTCCAGTTGAAGCATCGCATTTGTGACGAAGCACGAATAGAAATAATCGGGACAATTATTCGGGGGAATTACCTACCTACATTTTTATTTTTCATTATTTTATCTACCTACAATAGATTTCAAAACAAAATGACATTATTTTCAAGTAGGCATTGATATACAAAAAGATCAGAGAAAAGAGTTTCAATAAAAACAACTCCAACCATAATTACTTATGTCACAAAATGACAAGTTTGAGTAAAACAAAATTCCAAATTCTTGCAAAACAAATTAAATTAATTTTCTAGTGTAATTCCAAGTACTTAATAATTAAAATCTATGTCTTTCCAAAGGACGCGTCCAATTGATGCCTTGCAACGCATCATGACATCCTTCAAACACTTTGAAAAAAAGTTGGACAAATTACAAAACGACGTGAAAACTCATGGTCAGACTCTGTCAGATCTTCGTAATATGGTAACAACACTTTCTGCTGGAACACTTGCAAGTGCTGACGGTAGATCTGATGACAACTGGCGTTCTGGAAGAAAGACCACAGCGATTCAACATGAAGGAAAAGCGTCGGTAGAGGACACTACGAGGTCTAAGAGGAAGAATGCGATTCGGCCCTTGCCAAGCAAATTAAAAGCAAAGAGCATGACAAACCAGAAGATAAAAGCGCCTATACCTCCGATCCAAGTTCGCGTCCATAATTGCACAGACGTAAATAATAAAGCTGTAGGAGGTGTGGGGTCGAAGCACGCACAAAGACACAGAAAAGCGGAGGCCCCCCGTAAAGCCACCACAATAAGGTCCCAAAAAGCATTAGAAAATAAACGAAGTAAAATGGCAAAATGAACGGGATTACACTAGAAAATTAAGGTATTTCTCGTTTGGTTGTCTTTTATTTTGTTGTAAATTTTTGTAAATTTTTGAAAAATTGAAATAGCTACAGAATAATTGCAAAAATAAAATGACAATAAAGTGCATTAATGTTATTTATTTTGTGTTCATTGTAAAATAGATCCTAATTTCTAATACGACTCTATTGACTTGCGACTTTTGCCGTTTATTCCTCTGCTATCTTGAAAGAGACGAAAGAGGTTTTCAAACTTTAGTAATGTATCGTCTTAACCATCTGAACTTTCGATTTCTGCTTATAGTACCGGTTAATTCTGAAACAAAAGCAAAATGGTTAATTTTGGTCGTTATTAAACGACCGTTATGTGATGAGGCACCGAACACACAAAGCACTTGATTTGGTGTTAACAGCATACTCACAATTTATGCACAATAATCTCGCCAAACACGATGATAACGGAGACGGCAACACCATACAGCATCAGTATGAGCACGGGCCGCATGTCCATCAGCCCCACACTGCTGAACGAGGACATCTTGGTCGTACAATGAGGCTTGGAGACGAGATACCTTCTACGGATTGCTGACTGAATACCAGACTCACGGATCTGCTTGTGGCTGTAAGATATAGAGAATGATCAGACTGGCCACCTGATGGTAAAGCAATTAAAATCGAGACATCTTCAAAGCTAGAGAAATTATAAATGCGATGCCAACACATTCACAAGCGTTGTTTCATGCCGGTGTTTAGTGAGGCCGTGGTATCATTCCGGTTGATACAGACAAAAATAAGATGAACATTCTTGTAAAACATGAGTATGGATCTTAAAAATTAAGGAACTACATGTTTTGCCATTTGAGGCGCACAAAATATTGTTGAGCCGCCTCTTTCGTGCCGAGCCGTGGCTTTTGCTTCATCAGACACAACAACAGACTCATGAGTCCATGAAACATTAATAAAAATTGCCCAGACTCTTACAAACGAATACGAAGAAGAAAGAAAGAGTCTTATATGTCTTTATAGGTACTTTACCTACCTAATTTTCAATTCAAGAGTTAGAGGACCTAAATACAACCACAATCCTTACTAATATTAATCGGAAAGTGAGGTTGTTTGTTTGTTCCGCTTTCACGCTGTAACTACTAAACCGATAGCTTTGAATTTTTGCAGACGTAAAGTTAGAAGTCTAGATTAAATAATAGGGTACTTTTGTCCCGGAAAAATTTGATATTCCCGAGGGAAAACAAAAGTATTGGTATAGATGGCGCTGTGTTTATCGTTATATGTCACATAGGCTACTTTTTATCCTTTGACGCGAGCGAATCCGTGGGTAAAAGTTAGTGATAAATAAAATAAGAACTAACACAACTCTAATCAGCTCCAAGTAAGGTGACCCCTTCCTCACAGGGGTGAAAGAGTCGAAAGTGACGAGGTAGTCCACTGTCGCTATGTCACACTTCTCACTCTCCAGGAATGTGGCTTCGATCTGACGGTACACTGGTTCTGCCACTGAGTGGAGAGCGAACAGACCCTTATGAGAAAAGAAAAGCATGTTCATTAAAAGTATATTCTAGTACGGTTTCGACATGATGAGAGGCTTGTAATATTACTTGGATTTGTTTATTTAGATGGGAGTTTTAGGTCTCTCACCTGACGGATTCTCTCAACACCATCAGCAAGACTGTAAAGTTTTGCTTTACCATTCTCAGGAAAGACTCTGTCGCGAATAGATATGTATAAAGGCTCTCTGCTTTGATTCTGAAAATAAAATTCAAACACGTTTAGACTAAGGTCTAATGAACATAGAAGTTAGAAATGTCCAAAAAAGATACTTACAAAAACGAAATGGTTGTAATCGACGTCATTGGCTGCGAGCGTGATCTTAGCGTTGGCGAGCTGCAGCAGGCTGCGGATGGAGTCGGAGGGAGCCTGCAGCAGCACCACGATGTTGGCGGAGTACGCCGCGTACAGCGCCATCAGCGCCGTGAACAGCACGAACACCATCATGCGACCTTGAGCATTAGCCTTGTTAATTTTTCAAAGTTCGAACCTATTGCTAAACTCTGAGCATAGAATAGCATTTTGTGCCATTGCTAAGAAATTGGTAAGAACCGATACTTTTTTCATTATATCAGTCTTTATTTACGTCTTGTCTTTATCAAGTGTAAGTATATCTTTCTGACAATGAGTACGCTAATATTGTTTAACATTTCATACCTGGTGCTCGCCTAGGTTCTATGTAGCATCCCTGCTGAGTGACGGCACTCATGGTCAACAACAGAGCGTCACATATCCCACCGTCCAACTGCTGTTGAGTTGTAGTCTACAAAATGACCACTTCAAAAGATTTCTATAGAGGTAGTTCTTATAAACCTAGACAGACTCCACGGAACAATAACGCAACATTGACAAAAGTAGCTACTTCAAAATCACCATGAAAAACTATCTTACCTTTGTAATAACAATTTCCACCTTACTAGCTAGGAATAGAGTTACAGTTGCTATAGCAGTGCACACGGCTATCGTCACCCACACCCTTGTAGAGAATGGAAGGTAGAACACATTAGCCACATAGGCCAGTGGGGGCTGCCGGAAGATGAAGAGCATACGCATGGGAGCCACCAGGTCTGTGTAGGTTACCACGTCGAAACGATCGCGGAAGATTACGCAGTTCGTACCTGAAAATAAAATTCAAACTATTTGGTGCTCAATCCATTAGGGTCATGTAGTTCTGACTCTCTTTTAAGAACTTTTCTACTTACTGTTGGTATTTGAGAACGCAACCTTTATTTTTGTTCTATTGGCAATAATTGTAATTGTTAGGTTGGCAACATTTTTTTATTCTCTCTCCCGCGTTTTTTTTCTCTTTGACAGTTTGTATGTAAAAGTCTTGCTCAATAAAAGTATATTTTTTCACTATTCTAAACAGTTTATTTTAATAATCCACCTCTTCAAATCAACACTTACCCATATCAGCCTTGTTAGCGTAGAGATCAGCGATCATGCCAGACCACTGCCCATTCACTTTGTACCCGTACCGGTAGCTGAAGATGTACCGAGGAGTCGCGTTGATCATCTCGAAGCCTATCTTAGCAGCAGACCAGCAGGCTTTAGTTATCGAATCGTATTGAAGTTTTCTGGAAATTATGAGCACATATGATATAAGAATCCTGAACGTTTTAAATTACGATTTTCAATCCACCTGCCAAATATAGAAATAATGACAGGTCTTCTTATGCTTAGGAGGCCCATAGTCCTGTGGACTGCTAAAGAACAGTTGATGATATCGTAAGTACTGATTCAGTAAACCTAATTTGGCAATCTGGATCTATTTATAAACAAGCTTTTACCCGCGGCTTCGCTCGCGTCACAAAAAGATAAAAAGTAGCCTGTGACATGTACCAATATACACAGCGCCATCTATACCAATACTTTTGTTTTTCCTCAGGAATATCAAAATTTTCCGTATAAAAAGTACCCTATTATTTAATCAGGACTTCTAACTTTACGTCTGCAAAAATTCAAAGCAATCGGTTTAGGAGTTACGACGTGAAAGCGGAACAAACTCACTTTCCGATTTATAATATTAGTAAGGATCTTCAACTCACAGTCTATCCTCCCTAGGTAGATGCAGACGAGTAGTGTTACTGTCCTGGATGACGTTAGACATAGTGATGGCGTGCCCCCGCATGTCGCGCCGGCGTCGGTACAGCTCGCGGTGCGCGCGCACGTCCACCATGCTACCGTTGTAGTAGCCGCGGGGAGTCGATATCATGGATCCGTTTGGGCCAGGTCTGTGCACTTGATGGAAAAATTGCATAAATCAAAATGCTCGCTCCCTGTTATACATAATTATGCATATATATGTTATAACGCTCTGGTGAAAAGAGAGCATATTAATCACCTGATGTTAGGTATCACTTGATCAGATCCGTCCTTGGACAACCGTAACACCAGAGGAGTTACGGGACGTTTCCAGCACTTTGGTAGGGCATGGACGGTTGATTTTACTTACATTCGGTCATCTTAAACATGTGTCCAATTCTCTCAGCAAGCACCACATCACTGTCAACCAGCACCGGTCCATTCTCGAGTAAGGAGATCTTGGACTGGTGCAGTTGTGGCGAAGTCACGAGTATCAGCCAGCGGTACGTGAATTGAAACAGTTCCTTGGATGAAGCCTGTACAAAATTAATCACATTTTTAAGGGATTTTTTTTAAGGGGGGAAAGTCATCGAATGACTGCGCTCCCGCGGCGGGAGGCGGGAGGCGGGAGGGAGTGTCAGACTCTTACTGACTAAAAACCACCCCGTTCCTTCTCCTGCACGTCGAGCCGGAGCCCCGGTTACCCGTTAGGTTCTCCGCGACACATTTTTAAGGTATAGAGGTCAAATGAGCAAACTTATCACTTGACAGTAAGCAATTAGCACCCCCGCTACTCGCTACAGCAGAGGATTTATGAGTGTGTGACCGTCATTTCGGTAGAGGAGGCCTTAGCTAAGGGCCCTTCTTACGTTAGGTCGCGAAAGTTCATACTTTCAGAGTCCCAACATGAGAGCTGATACACTTTGATTTTATTAAATTAATTATTTCGTTTTATACTCACGTAAGAAAGAACAGTCCTCGACTGGGTACAGTCCAGGTCCGTCAGATACATTATGGCGTGATCTTGATACTTGGACCTTGGTTTAAATGACGCTGAGGTCCGTACTCCTATGTTGGACATCTCTACTACGAGTTTATTTATTAGTTCTGTAATATAATAACATTTCGCTTGAAATTTCTGTAAGGCTATTCAGCAAGTAACCTCTCAGTGTGACACGTAAACCATGTTTTTATCGACTTCAAAAAAGGACCTCCTCCTTTTTTTGAAGTACTGTGCTCGACCCGAGAATCGAACCCGAGACCCCTTGCCCGGCAGTCGCACTTGCGTCCACTCGGCCCGTTGACCGGCAGCAATAATGTTGTCATCAGGAGAACCACTAGCCGTATAATAACCTCGGTAGTATACAATATTCAGGTACCTACTTACCCTTTTTCCAACACAAACCACCATAGATCAAATGCGTGGGCTTTTGATCGTTTAATATGAAAAGTTTAATAAAGTTAATGTTCTCCATATCTTTAGTCTGTATGACAACAGAACATTGGGTAACAAGGAAAAAAAGTACAATGGAAAGACCCGCCATATTGCATGAATAAAGATTCAGAAACAAAAGTAGAATGAAGTCTTCATGATTTTTAGTCGTTTATGTTATTAGGCTTAGGTTAGAAGCTAATTTGCTACTTATACGACGACGACTTTGCGATTTTGCGACTGCTTCGGTGCATGTGTTTTTTTAATGAATTCTCTGGGTATGTTTTAAGTCGATTGTTGTATTTCTTCGAAAAACTAATTTTAGGTAACCTTCTTTTGTCTTTGTAGCATTCAGGTTTAATAGAAGCCTTATTGCATCTAGGTAGAACAGCTCATAAGACACGTAGCCTGTCTCGTTGATTGTCATAATGAGGCTGAAATTAAATACCTATCAATAATGACTCCAAAATCGTCATTATATTTATACTTTCTTTAAAAAAAAAAATCGTTGTTCTCAATTGCCTCTTGGACTTAGGTACATACTATTGACTGCCTCGTTGGCCGAGTGATCACAAGTTTCGCAAGGGTTTTTTTAAATCTCAGTAGGAGCACGGACTTTGGAATTGTGCCCGATATATGGCAATAGGCTCGACCCCTATTACATGGGACTCATTTCATAAATAGTGGGTGTAGTAAATTATACAGTGCCATTAAGTGCCGTAATATGCACCTCTGCCTACCCTTCGAGGATAAAAGGCGTGATGTTATGTTATGAAGTTCTCAAATATAATAGGTAAAAGTCGCACCCTGATACTAAAAGTCGCAAGTTTGCTTAGAACCTTATTTCTTTTTCGAGGTAAAACTAACATGACTTTGTTAACTTGGACTAAAGGAAAGTAATTGAGAACAATTTGTGTGGACAGCTCTTCAAAACGTAAGTACCTAAAGCTGAAGACAATTTAGTGAACGGGACAACCGCCTACCTATATATGATCGAGCTTACCTACTGTAAGCAGGTAATAAGTTTTAATGTTTGTATGTCTGTCAAATATCATCATCATCAGCATCAGTTATATCTTCCTACCTTTCATCAACAACCTATAAATGCCCATTGCTGAGCAAAGCCTCATGTCACACGGAGAAGGTTTGATCATTAATCACCACGCTTGCTCAATGCGGGTTGGTGATTGCAAACTTATAATTAAACATTATAAGCCCAGGTTTCCTCACGGTGTTTTCCTTCATCGTTTTGTCAGTGGTGTCTAGATAATCTTAGAAAGTACATATAACTCGGAAAAAGTCACATTGGTACTTGCCGTTGGTAGATTTCCAACCCGCACCCTCATGCACGAGAAGCCGTCTTATACCTCCAGGCCACCACCCTTATTTACAAATTATTACACCCTTACCAATGTCGTGGTGGCCCGGAGCTGATGGTCATTCACGAGGGTGCAGGTTCGCAACCTATCCACGGTAAGTACCAATGTGACTTTTCCGAGTTATAGGTAGATATGGACTTTCTAAAATTATTTAGATACCACGATACCACTGACAAACGGTGAAGCAAATCGTGACAAAACCTCGGCTTATAATTCCTAATTATAAGTTTGAAATTGCCAACCAAGTGGTGATTAATGCTTAAACCTTCTCCGTGTGAGAAGAGGCCTTTGGTCAGTCAGCAGTGGCCATTATAGGCTGTTTGGATGGGTTGGAAGCGCTGGATATGTTTTTGAACAAGTTCTATTATGTCTTCTTTCTTCATTCTGCCCCAACAAAACACCCTTCTCTTTTATAATTGTTCCTCGTTTAATTACATTCTATTGTTCCTCCATCTTCTCATTGATTGTCTTATTTTATACTCATTTCAACTTGAATATTTCATCGCTTCTCAGAACCAGTTCATGTCAAGGAAGACTTTCAACCTCTCTGTAACCGACTACTACTCCTACAAAAGATGTCATTTTCTTCATAAAAAAGAAGCATATCCAGGGCATATTATTATAGCCGTTTTGAAGACCTACTTAGGCTTTCAAACTAAACATAATTGAATGTATTTACTCAGTATTATGAAATGAATATTTCATTACAAGTCTCTGTTTGACGTATTGTAACTTGAACAGGGTAGAAAATAAAGAAATTGTTCGATATGAATAAAACACGCCTTGATTTTTGTCGTTTCTTTATTGTGAATGTCTGAGTCGAAGTTAAAATCTATATTAGAATTTAGTGATATTCTGTTGTATAAGGTTGTTTGAAGGGATTCCTTATCTCCTCACATTTCATTAAAAATTGACAGACTAAGATTTAAGTAATTGAAAGAGAAAGGTGAGGTAAGTAGTGTTAGTAAAATATATTTTATGCGGTGCAAACACTTACCTAATTCGAATGAACTATTATTAAACTAATTTAAATATTACTGGAACATAAGCATGAAGTTGGTAAATGTGAGTGAAGACAAATTTACTGCAAGAAGAGGTGCAGAAATACGGATGTGCAAATGTGCATGCTTCCCAATACTTATTTCAAATTTAATACCTAACTAAAAGTTTCAGCTGTTAGAGTGAAATTCATTTTGTTCAACGATTTGTCTAATATAACCACGGAATATATTCTATACTAGCTTTTACCCGCGGCTTTGCTCGCGTCACAAAAAGATAAAAAGTAGCCTATGTGACATATAAATATATAACAATATTTTTGTTTTCCCTCGGGAATATAAATTTTTTCCGGGATAAAAAGTACCCTATTATTTAATCCGGACTTGTAACTTTACGTCTGCAAAAATTCAAAGCAATTGGTTTAGTAGTTACGGCGTGAAAGCGGAACAAACACAAACTCACTTTCCGATTTATAATATTAGTAAGGAATCCGTGAATATAACCTTCTACTATAATAAGTACCATGTCGTGCTTTATCTTCGCTATTACAATATAAATATTTTACAAATATTATAATAGTGAATAAATTCTATACATATTGTCTAACACTATTTTGAATCGTGATAAAATGTCACGATTTTAATCTTTCTAGAATTTATTACTCAGTGCCGGAATGGGATGTGGTCAGGATCTGTGAGTCTTCTTTTCTGCTGTCTGATCATCATTCTGAAATTACATGGAATCATTGTCATCAAAAGAGTAACTATTAATAATTAGCGACTAAGATTAAAAAATTGAAGTTTTGACCCCTAGGAACAGCACCATCAGCTTACTACTACCAAGTGTATGTTTTGACCCCTAGGAACAGCACCATCAGCTTACTACTACCAAGTGTATGTTTTGACCCCTAGGAACAGCATCATCAGCTTACTACTACCAAGTGTATGTTTTGACCCCTAGGAACAGCATCATCAGCTTACTACTACCAAGTGTATGTTTTGACCCCTAGGAACAGCATCATCAGCTTACTACTACCAAGTGTATGTTTTGACCCCTAGGAACAGCATCATCAGCTTACTACTACCAAGTGTATGTTTTGACCCCTAGGAACAGCACCATCAGCTTACTACTACCAAGTGTATGTTTTGACCCCTAGGAACAGCATCATCAGCTTACTACTACCAAGTGTATGTTTTGACCCCTAGGAACAGCACCATCAGCTTACTACTACCAAGTGTATGTTTTGACCCCTAGGAACAGCACCATCAGCTTACTACTACCAAGTGTATGTTTTGACCCCTAGGAACAGCATCATCAGCTTACTACTACCAAGTGTATGTTTTGACCCCTAGGAACAGCACCATCAGCTTACTACTACCAAGTGTATGTCTTTAAGAGTTGCACTCTCTTGGTACTAAAAATACTTTAATTATTAAAATATATCAATAGGTACGACAGACAAGGGTAAAAAAATAACAAACATTTTTTTTAATGGCATAAGCCGGTAAACGAGCAGACGGATCACCTGATGGTAAGCAATCGGCGTCGCCCATGGACACCTGGAACACCAGAGGCGTTACAAGTGCGTCACCGGCGTTTTGGGGATTAGGAGTTTGAGGATCGTTGGAGATTCAGGGATTGGGGAGATTGGAGAAGGGGAGGGTAATTGGACCGGTAACCTCACTCACACGAAACACAACGCAAGCGTTGCTTCACGTCGGTTTTCTATAAGGCCGTGGTATGACTCCGGTCGAGCCGGCCCATTCGTGCCGAAGCATGGCTCTCCCACACTTAATGAAAAAACTAGAGTCTTCTTCCTTATAAATACAAATGTTTTAATTAGACAACTATGCTATCTTCTTCTATTCTAGATCCATGTCATCCATGTTATTTTTAGTAGTCTTCTAAAACAACAAGACCTTGAATAGGGCAAGTCTATCTGTTCGCGTCTACCCTACTAAAGTTCGCATTTTTACGTCCACCCGCAAGTTTGCGTCCATGTTACGGATCACCATAAATGTAAGATAGGTATTTAAAACTTGTAAAGGTCAAAGAGATGAGACTAAATACTACTTACATGGTATTTTTCAAGGGCTTTGCGTAACGTGGACAAGCGAATTTACACATAGGTACTTATTCATATAAGATACTTACAATCGTTTATACGTAATCTCAAGCAGTAAGACGGCAGGAGCGAGCAGCATCCCATACAAGGTCATCAGCATAGCTGGGTACATGTCTGTGATGCCCACACTGCTGAAGGTGGACACGTGTCCTGAGCACCTCGGCCGGGCCACTGTGAGACGCTGGTGCACGTTCGCTTGTACCCCTGACTCCCTGATCTTTAGGAAGCTAGGACAAAAATCAGATGTAAAAAAGAGTAAGTACTTAGATGACATTGGCGATGTTTTTGTGAGTTTCTTTAGAAAATAACTAGCCTGCCTTTTATTATTGTTTTTTTTAAGGGGGGAAAATCATCGAATGATCTGCTTCCGCCTGGGTGAGGCGGGAGGGAGTGTCAGACTCTTACTGACTAAAAACCACCCCGTTCCTTCTTCTGCACGTCGAGCCGGAGCCCCGGTTACCCGTTAGGTTCTCCGCGACTTTATTATAGTGTAGGACTTACGTAAAGGTATGTAAGTAGGTACATTTTTCTACAATAATAAGTTCATTCGTTGACATTATTTAGGGGACTAAAACCTAAGTAACTCGAGACTCTACGAGAGCATAAAAAATATTTGTAGGTAAATGAGGCTTACCTACAAATTACCTTTAAATATTTTTATATAACTACTAGCTTTAACCCGCGGCTTCGCTCGCGTCACAAATGGATAAAAAGTAGCCTGTGTGACATATACCAATACACACAGCGCCATCTATACCAATACTTTTTTCCCTCGGGAATATCAAATCTTTCCGGGATAAAAAGTCTGCAAAAATTCAAAGCAATCGGTTTAGTAGTCACAACGTGAAAGCGGACAAACAAACAAACAAACAAACAAACTCATTTTCCGATTTATAATATTAGTACCTCCTATTTCTACCTCCACCAATTTTAGACACAATTTAGCGTTAAATTCACTTACTTTATCTTAAAAAGATCCTTGAAAGGCGACCTCTTTTGTCCTGGAACCCAGGGGTCTATCTCGTTGATGTAATCAATTTCCACCAGGTCACACTTCTCGTCCTCCTGGTATGTCTCCTGGATCAGTCGGTATCCTGGGTTCAGCTCCATGTGGAAGGCGAATAGACCCTGTTGAAGTTTAGACTGATTTGTATATTCTGCATACAATAGGTTATAGAATATGTAGGCTAGCAGTGAACGGGAGTAGCGGGTTAATAATTGGGATGATGACAGGGTATGAAAATTAAAAATCTAATTAGTCCGTAAGTTAGGTAATGAAGAAATATTAGACACGTATTTTTTTTTATTTTGTCGTATATACTTACATAAAACGAATCAACGTTTAGTAGTGGGGGCTAAAATGTCATTTCTACGTACAAAATGTACCTACATAGAAGTGAATAGCCAGACGGACATTATAATAAAAATTAATTTTAATTGTAGATATCATAATATAATCACGGTGATCTGATCACACATAAAAAATTAAATGACAAAGAAAAAGTTGACCATGACCTTAATGAATCAATAAAAGATACAAAACTTCTATCTCATAAAAGCACAAAACAAAATTGTAAATAAGAAAAACAAAAACAATAAAAAAAAATGATAAGATAAAAACAAAATTAAATTTATATCAATAATTTTCGAAATAAATTATTAAAAAGTAATCGACGAGGATGGGATTCGAACCCACGCGTGCAGAGCACATTGGATTAGCAGTCCAACGCCTTAACCTCTCGGCCACCTCGTCATGTGGAAAGTCGCTCCAAATAAGGGCCTGGTATATAAGTACCTACTTACATTGTTATATTGATGAATATCAGTGGATAGAATTTTAAACCTTAAAGTCATAATATTGACAGGGACTGTACAAAAAATTGTAATAAGGTGACAAAAATCATATATGTGGCTTTGTGTTTATGTACTGTATTAAATGAAAGTGTAAAATAGTTGTTATAATTTTATTTTCGCTTAACAGACTCGATATTAGCATTTATTTATTTATTCAGATGTTTTATTTTATAATTATGCATTTTATCGTTTACGCAGACGCTTCGATTACATAGTAACATAGCATACATTACAGTATTTAAATATACATACATACATACATACATACACAGACTGCCTCATTGGCCAAGTGGTCGCAAGGGCGACTGCCGGGCAAGGGGTCTCGGTTTCGATTCCCGGGTCGGGCAAAGTATTACTGGGTTTGTAAAAACCTCAGTAGTAGCACGGAGTCTGGAAAGGTGCCCAGTATATGGCAATAGCCTCACCCCCTATTACATGGGACTCATAACATAAATAGTGAAAAGTGGGTGTTACATTGTACAGTGGCATTAAGTGCCGTAATGTGCACGTCTGCCTACCCCCTTCGGGGATAAAAGGCGTGATGTTATGTTATGTTGTTACGTACATACACTAATTTTTAAGTTCACTTATAAATAGGTTCATGGCAGCTCACCTTTCTAATTCTCTCGACGCCATCTTTCATTGAGTAGAAATTTGCTTGCTTTCCCTTCGGTGCAATCTTCTTTTCGTAAATCGCTTTACGTATTGGATCATTGAGTTTCTGTAAAATAAATTTTATTATAAAGTAACAAGGTCAAAAGGTAATTAAGGATTTTAATTGTTGGGTGCCAACGATAATAGGTACTGTATAAACTGTATTGTATTTCTTGTTCGGCCTTTTCCCTATCTAAATAGTGGCCATAATATGATATCGATGAAGTTCTAAGACAGAGCTTTTTTTTACCGTAGGAAAATCATCGAATGACTGCTCCCGCCTGGGTGAGGCGGGAGGGAGTGTCAGACTCTTACTGACTAAAAACCACCCCGTTCCTTATGCTGCACGTCGAGCCGGAGCCCCGGTTACCCGTTAGGTTCTCCGCGACCTAAGAGAGAGCTAAGTGTGACTTTTAACACCTTCGTTTCTTGTTCCTCTAGGGTCAGAAGATTTGAAAAGGACCTACGTTTTTATTAACCTGCCTCGTTTGCTGAATGGTCGCAAGTGTGACTGCAGGGAAAGAGTACAATATAGTCGCAAGTGCGACTGCTGTTTTTTTTTTAAATATCATTAGTGGTACTGGAATTGTGCCCGCTATATGGCAATAGGTTCACCTCCTATTACATGGGACTTAGGGCCGGATTTACAAACCTAGTAAACATCTTTTCTTTGATATTTTTATTTTCGCTTTTACCTTTTCCTACAGCCTAAAGTACTTTATACATATGTACATGATTATTTGATTATATTAATTTTAAATATTAACAGAAACAGAAATTATTGATCTATATTTGTTCACTCCAATCAGGCAATCAGTGAAATATCAAAATCTCAAATGGCTCTGATAAGCACTTCCAATTTACTACCCATCTTGTACCCCAATGGCTCAATGGCTCAGTGGGATGGTACTTGCCCGCAACCTCGGAGGTTGGCTATTCGATTCCGTGTCTCGACCATTAAAAAAATTAATTGCAGTATGTGAACAATTGGTATTATTCAATTCTTAAACTAGAAATCTGTCGAGCGTCCTCGAAATCTATCGGGCGTCCTCGAAATCTATCGAGCGTCCTCGAAATCTATCGAGAGTTCTCGATCGTTTTCGAGCGTCCTCGAAATCTATCGAGCGTCCTCGAAATCAATCGAGCGTCCTCGATTGTTTTCAAGTGTCCTCGAAATCTATCGAGAGTTCTCGATCGTTTTCGAGCGTCATCGATTGTTTTCGAGCGTCCTCGAAATCTATCGAGAGTTCTCGATCGTTTTCGAGCGTCCTCGAAATCTATCGGGCGTCCTCGAAATCTATCGAGCGTCCTCGAAATCAATCGAGCGTCCTCGAAATCAATCGAGCGTCCTCGATTGTATTCGAGCGTCCTCGAAATCTATCGGGAGTTCTCGATCGTTTTCGAGCGTCCTCGAAATCTATCGGACGTCCTCGAAATCTATCGAGCGTCCTCGAAATCTATCGAGCGTCCTCGAAATCAATCGAACGTCCTCGATTGTTTTCAAGCGTCCTCGAAATCTATCGAGAGTTCTCGATCGTTTTCGAGCGTCATCGATTGTTTTCGAGCGTCCTCGAAATCTATCGAGAGTTCTCGATCGTTTTCGAGCGTCCTCGAAATCTATCGGGCGTCCTCGAAATCTATCGAGCGTCATCGATTGTTTTCGAGCGTCCTCGAAATCTATCGAGAGTTCTCGATCGTTTTCGAGAGTCCTCGATCGTTTTCGAGCGTCCTCGAAATCTATCGGGCGTCCTCGAAATCTATCGAGCGTCCTCGATCGTTTTCGAGCGTCCTCCATTGTTTTCGAGCGATCTCGAAATCTATCGAGCGTCCTCGAAATCAATCGAGCGTCCTCGATCGTTTTCGAGCGTCCTCGAAATCAAGCGAGCGTCCTCGATCGTTTTCGAGCGTCCTCGAAATCAAGCGAGCGTCCTCGATCTCAATCTGGAAAATAATTTGGGGCAAGGGGGCCTCCACTACTTTGTTGCCCCGAGGCCTCTGGACCCCTAAATCCGGCCCTGATGGGACTCATAACATAACAACTAAAAAGTGGGTGTTACATATACAGTGGCATTAAGTGCTGTAATGTGCACCTCTACCTACAATTTCGGGGATAAAAGGCGGATATTATGTTTTGTTTTTCTAAAATTTCTAGACTTGATAATCATGAAGAAAACCGAGGATATAACAAATGAGAAACAAGTTTATTGTATCTGTAAAAAATGTATTTTCTGGGTTTCAAATCAATAAATCATTATCACTCCATACCTTAAAGAAATACCGATTGTACTCAAAATCACTGGCGCCCAATTTAAGTGGTGAGTTGAGGAGATCAGGTAGACTTCTGACGGAGGAGCTGGGAGCTCGCAGCAGCACCACGATGTTTGCGGAGTACGCTGCGTAGAGGACTGTCAGAGCTATGAACAGGATCAGGGTTACGCAGCGACCTGGTGGAATACAACAGAAAAGTCTTGTAGAGTTCACATCATATTTCATAACACACATAACATCATGCCTTTTATCCCGGAAAAGGTAGGCAGAGGTGCACATTACGGCACTTAATGTCGCACACACATCCACATTTCACTATTTATGTTAACATCCTATTTCCTACTAATATTGTAAATGCGAAAGTTTTGAGGATGTATGTGTGTCTGTTAGTAACTCTTTCACGTCATAGCAGGTGAAGGGATCGAGATATAAGTTAGAACAGGAGTAGATTTAAGTGTGGGAGAGCCATGCTTCGGCACGAATGGGCCGGCTCGACCGGAGTGATACCACGGCCTCACAGAAAACCAACGTAAAACTTAACGTGTTTCATCTGTGTGAAGTTTCCGGAGGCCCAATTACAATTCTTTATTTTTAGTTTTTACTCAGAGTCAAAGCATTTATTTCATTTAGACTATAATTTGGTACTTTTGAATAAATAAATAATAGTCTGTGTCAGTTAGTCCGTCGGTGAAGCTAAGTGAAGCTAGGCGCTCATTCCAAAATGTAGATTCAAATGGAGCAAACAACACAATTCTTTACTCTTTAAAAAAAGTATATTCTACAATGTCTCAGATACATATTCCAATACTGTACGTATATGTGAGAACAATGCAAAAAGACACGCTTGACGCATTATACAAATTAAAAATGTAGTCCACTTATCGATACCTTGGGAAAACTAGGGTTAGTCACAAATATATGCCACCAACACACGGCTAAGCAGTTCATAGTAGTTCTAAAATCATGTTATTACCTGCACCATATCGTGGTTCCAGAGTACACCCTTGTTGCAGTACTGCGCCTATGATGAGGATCAGTACGTCAGCCCACGAGCCGTCCAGTTGCAAAGGATGCTAAAATATGGTTAAAGCATGGATGATAGATATACAATAAAAACTGAATTTTACCAAGCTCATCTTCTTGATTCTTAGCATGGAGATTATAATTGAGCTTGATAAATGTTCGATATATGGATAAATCACAATTTTATTTTTTAATTTATGATGGGTCGACGTTTGCCCACTATCTCGCCTGGTGGTAAGCGATGATGCGGTCTACGATGAAGCAATTTTCAATTTACCTACAATCTTTTCAATTTTCAGTATTATGTTATATTATAAGTCATATAAATATTATAAAGCTGAGGAGTTTGTTTGTTTGAACACGCTAATCTCCGAAACTACTGGTCCGATTTGAAAAAATCATTCTGTGTTGGATAGCCCATTTATCGAGTAGAGCGAGTGAAACCGCGCGGAAGTAGCTATAGTAAGTCATATGTATTAGAAGGTGCTTAATCATCATACAGTTTAAAAACTATACGGAACTATAAACAAACTCACCATACCCATACTGGCTTCCCACTTAGAAGCTATGTACAGGAATATGGAGCACCCCAGCACACAGATGAAGATGGCCAGCCAGACGGTGCCGGAGAATGGCAGCGTGAAGATATTAGAGATGTAGGAGAGGGGGGGTTCTCTGAACACGAAGCGTACGGCAGTCGTGCCAACCATTGCTATGTAGTCCACCACGTCCATGCGCTCTTGAGTGAAGATTGTTAAGGTTCCTATATAAAAAATTGATTGATAGCTTAGATAAATCATATTATGGACTAAGTACAATTATGATGAGTCTTATAATTGTGTCGTGTTCTTGTGTTGTAATACTTTATTTTACTCATCTAGAAAATATTGCTTACGATAGATTAAACTGTCAAACACCAAGCGGTCACCGGTGACCGCGACCTATTGTTCTTTAATTGTGTCTTTAAAACCGGTACTCGACGAGTTAATATTGATAGCAAGAAAACTTATCGCCGCCTCATGGCTCATAAGCAGCCCAAAAATCTTTACACCTGTAATTCCAGGAGTATCAAATTATCATTGACAGCCTATAATTTGCCACTGCTGGCCAAAGGCCTCTTCTCCCACGGAAAGGGCTTGAGCATTATTCACCACGCTTGCTTAATGCGGGTTGGCGATTTCAAACTTATAATTAGAAATTCTAATCCTAGGTTTCCTTCATCGGGAATAAATGTACAGGGTGCAACTTTTACAGATTTTAGTCGGTTCAAAAACCGTGTGCGGCAAGCGAATTTTAAAAATAATTGAATGCAGTTTTGTTTCTTTTCAAAAATAAAAGAAACATTTCTTTGAATAAAATTTTCTATCTTCTTTTTCTTCTTTTTTTCTTTAAATTTTCTATCTTAAGTATTAAGAGTACTTCCCCTTCAGGTGGCATTATTATTTGACAAAATTCCACCCTGTACAGAATAAAGTTTAGTTATGCTATAATTTATCAAACGAAACGTACACAGAAATATTATGATAATAAAGTATTGATTGTGATGGATATCATGCAACTTTGACACTTAGACCATAAGTGACTTCGTACCATCTAGGTACTTACTCATTCTACTTTCTCATCAAAACAAGAATCTTTAACGGTAATATGAAAAACAAGTACCAATACGATTGAGACCAAACTTATAATCCAGTTTAGAATATTATTTTATAGTAGGTACAGTTAGAATTTTAATTTATGCAGTCACTTAGTGATTAATCAGACAGGAAATTAGTTTGGATCTAAATACCTTTTTAAACTAGTTCATATTAATGATTTCACTCAAGGTCAATGGACGGCGGAGAATGCTTTGTTAAATGCGAAAAATGTGCAAATTAAGTTAGCATTCTCGTTTAGAGATGATGAGATCAAAACATGATTTGTTGTTGCTATGACCTCTAGTTTCAGAATCCAGTTTCAGTAAGTATTAACTCATGGAATTCACAATCTTGGCAGCCACCTCAGCTTAACATAAATCATTTATTCTCATTAAGATAAAAAGACACTTACAAGAGAATATAAAATTAACGTGCAAGTGCGTTACCCGAATCCCCGAATGCTCTACAATCCTCAAATTCCCAATTCCCAAAAGGCCGGTAACGCACTTGTAACGCCTTGGTGTTTCGAGTGTCCATGGGCGGCGCCGACTGTTTACCATCAGGTGATCCGTCTGCTCGTTTACCGGTTTATGCTATAAAAAATAAAAGATTAGAAAATACCCAAATCAGCATCCTTCTTCAGCAGATGGTCAACGATTCCCTGCCATTGCCCGTTCTTGTCCTTGTACCCCCAAGTATGTGTGAAGAGGAGTCGCTCGGTCGCGTTCAGCATGTGGAAGCATATACTCACCACAGCGTATGACATCTTTGTTATGCAGTCCTGGTGTAAGTACCTAAGAGACGGAGGGAAGTGTTTAGTTGTTTTATTTAGAAATCTATACATTTATTTATACATACACAAATATAAATAAAATTAGATGTTTATAAAGTTGAAACAACTGCTTTTTACTACATGTATAACATTTTACTAAAAATGGCGTCCTATGCAGCGTAGGCTGCGCGACATCGCCGCGACCGCGCACGCTGCTCTGTGGTTCGAAAGTAGCTTTTCTCAACATATTCACGTAAGCCACCCGCGATTTTTAGTTAATTTAACTACATTAATATACTACTAACTACATAACATCACGCCTTTTTATCCCCAAAGGGGTAGGCGGAGGTGCACATAACGGTACTCCCACCCCACGGTTCGGATACGGTGTTTTTACTATTTATGTTATGAGTCCCATGTAATAGGGGGTGAGCCTATTGCCATATACCGGGCACAATTCCAGACTCCGTGCTGCTCCGAGATTTTTTTTAAAATTCCCGTAGTTCTTTGCCCGACCCGAGAATCGAAGCCGGAGACCCGTCCAGTCCATCCGACCAGTCGGTCTTGCGACCATTCGGCCAAAGAGACAGTCGAGCATAAAAAACTACTGTTATATTTGATAAGTAAAGTTAATATTTATTATGGATCTTATACAAGTCTAATAGCATCGTTAGTCTGACCACGTAGGAGATGACAATGGAACTTGGTCAGATAAAGTTGGCGATACATCACAGTTCGGCCGACCAATAAGTTATCTACGAACTACAAGTAACTAACTGCGGGCATAACTATTAGATACATAGAGGTATAGTTGTTGTCCGCGAGTTTGCTCCGATTTTCTTATTTAAACTTAGTAGAGTTAAATAAATAACTTATTTTTTATGGTATAAGCTGGTAAACGAGCAGATGGATCACCTGGTGGTAAGCAATCGGCGTAGCCCATAGACACCTGGAACACTAGAGGCATTACAAGTGCGTTTGGGGATTAGGAGTTTGAGGATCGTTGCGGATCCAGGTATTAGGGAGATTGGAGAAGGCGAGGGGGGCGATTGGGCATCCGGTAACCTCACTCACACGACGAAACACAATGCAAGCGTTGTTTCACGTCAGTTTTCTGTGAGGCTGTGGTATCACTCCGGTCGAGGCGGCCCATTTGTGAGAAGCATGGCTCTCCCATACATTTTCTTAATACACACGCGTCTACTAATGGTACACCATTCTAATTTTTCCATCGACTTTAAATTTGACTGTATATTTGGTTACGCTACGCATGCTTGGCTTAATAAGGCTAGGGATTCACGAAGCGATTTTCTGCCGCGCCCGCCGCGTTGGTGGCGCGATTTTCCCGACGACGCGTCCATGGGCGACGCCGATTGCTTACCATCAGGTGATCCGTCAGCTCGTTTACCGGCTTATGCCACAAAAAAAATCTAATAATAATTTGTACAAGGATTATGTCAACAAAACTTGAAAATAATAAAATGCAAGTATGTTGCAACAATGTAGGCGAAGGATATTCATAAATAGCATTACGTATAATAATATTATAATAGCTTCGTTTTAAGTAAATGTGTGGTCTATTAGCATATTTATGTTCTAAGAACATGAGCTTTGAGTGAGAATATCTTGTTAATAAGACAGGATCTAGTGTTAAGGGCGAAGGTGGAAAATACAATTCCAAATCACATTATCAATATCAACAGTTTGGACATAACATAACATAACTTCAAGCCTTTTATCCCCGAAGGGGTAGGCACAGGTGCACATTACAGCACTTGATGCCACTGTACAATGTAACACCCACTTTTCGCTATTTATGTTGAGTCCCATGTAATAGGGGGTGAGCCTAGTGTCATATACCGCGCACAGCTCCAGACTTCGTTCTACTACTGAGATTTAAAAGAAAACCCAGTAATAATTTGCCCGACCCGCGACCCCTTGCCCGGCAGTCGCACTTGCGACCACTCGGCCAATGAGTATATCTATTTAGATATTATAATGTAATTAATCTATGCATCTTACATTACCTACTCCATACGTGACATACAAGTACAACTATCTAAATCTTCCAGTCGTGCTTATACTCACGAATTGATATAACCAGTTCCACATACAAGTTTGCATTTTCAAGGAAATCTTTAATTTTCATACTTGACAGTGAATTATGGAGATTTGGTATTATTCAATGCAGATGGGAATAAAAAAAATTAAAACAAAATCATGTAGCTACCCCCTATTCACTCCCTATTACATGGGACTCATAACATAAATAGTGAAAAGTGGGTGTTACATTGTACAGTGGCATTAAGTGCCGTAATGTGCACCTCTGCCTACTCCTTCGGGGATAAAAGGCGTGATGTTATGTGTGTATGGAAATCGATAAATTACATTACAAATTGTATTAATCATGCTCAATATTTTCCTCAAAAGTATGAAATATTTTGTAATTAATATGCATATGAAAATAAAAAAAGAAACATCTAGAGATTGGATGAACACACGTGTATATACATGAATGCATTTATAATAGTCGTCACAGAATGAAATTAATTACAATATTATAATAAAAAACTGTACATACCTAAGTATTAATATGTATATAATAATATATTTTTGTAATGCGCCACAAATCAACACTTATTATTGTACTATTTTAAATAATAATTAAGTAAATGATGACAGTATTTACTTAACTATTATTTAATTATTAATTAATTATTAGGTATGTATATTAATTATTAGGTATGTTTATGTAAATTCGTTTTCAAATATTTTTTCTGTGTTACTTAATTTGTTTTAATACTACTAATATACTGCTACTGTTATCTGTAGCAAGTTCATATGGCACACACAATATTTGACCTTTACTTTAAGGTCAAATTAATTATTTTAAAGCGACTATCAATGGGTATTTAAAATAGGAACTTAATAAAGATATCTTATTTAAATTCGACCACTATACGGAAGACATAAACACAAAAAACATTACCCTCCTTCTTTGGCAGTCGGGTAAAAAAGTAGGTTAATGTTATGCTAATAAGTTATCTGATATAGTACCATCTTATTCACTTGATTTGATGTGATTGTAGAGGTTCGTAAACTGATCGGTAAAGAAGAATAGAATTTTTTAATATACTCTAATTTTTTACTTTAGTTTTGTTTTAGGACTGCCTCGTTGGCTGAGTGGTCGCAAGTGCGACTGCCGGGCAAGGGGTCTCATATACATAACATAACATCACGCCTTTTATCCTCGAAGGGGTAGGCAGAGGTGCACATTATGGCTCTTAATGCCACTGTTAAATGTAACACCCACTTTCGACCATTTACCAATGTTATGAATCCCATGTAATAGGGGATGAGCCTATTGCCATATACCGGGCACAATTCCAGACTCCGTGCTACTACTGAGTATTTTTAAAAACCCAGTAATATTTTGCCCGATCCGGGAATCGAACCCGAGACCCCTTGCCCGGCAGTCGCACTAGCGACCACTCAGCCAATGAGGCAGTGTATGATAAATACTTACAGTCTATCATTCATATGCAGCCTGGTTTCGTTGCTATCCGTGATGACATTGACCATTGTTAGAGTATGTCCTCTCAAATCATATCTCCTTGAAGATAGAACATTGGAACTTCTATAGTCCTCCACCCATCCATATTTTGTAACAGTTACTTTTGAGAACATATTTGTATTCGTTGGAACACCTAATATGTTATTATTAGTAACGTTATACTGATACGTAATAGGTAAGGTGGTATTTTCGGTATTCGATATGTTATCTTGATTCATGATAGTAATATTGTTTTTATACTTGTCTTGTTTTGCTGTATTTCTTCTCCATATTAATCGTGTTGTGTGTATTATCTCGGAGTTTTCTGATATTTTGTAAGCTGTAACAGATATAAGTTTTTAAGGTTTTATAAAGTGTCTAACAATGACTGTATTATCGATCGAGTAAGTAGTCGTAAGCACGAATATCAAAGCAAGGTGTCTCAATCTCAAGTTTGATTCTGGTATTAGGCAAAGTATTATTGAGGTTTTCGAGAATTACTCGGAAATGAAACGGAATTTAGAATTATATTATTACTAGGTACCTACTGCCGTGAGATCTTACTCGCTCTACTCGGCTTCTTTTGATCACAGCGTGATGTTTTATAGCCTATAGCCTTCCTCTATAAATGGACTATGCAACACAAAAATAATTATTCAAATCGTACCAGTAGTTCCTGAGATTAGCGCGATCAAACAAATAAACAGACTCCTCAACTTTATAGGTATAACAAATATATGCAAGTAACACAGCCGGTTGTCGAATATCGACCGTGCGATGTAATTTATTTTTAAAATTAGTTGTAAATGATGTTATAGTTTTAAATACATCAAATTATGTTAAATTGCATATCTTATATATACTAGTAGGAGTGTTTTCCAGGTGATAGTGATAAGACTATCCAAAAATTGAAAGTTCCTGCTGGCTGTCAACGGTCACCAGACGGAGCAAAAGTTTAAGTATGTATGTACATGATGTATAAGCACAGAACATATTTCTTTATATGTTCTGTGAGTATGAGTTATGAGTATGAGTAAACATAACATAAATTAACTAAAAATCGCGGGTTAATCACGTAAGTATACAGAGGGGTTCTTCCGCGCACGCTGCTCATGAGGAAGAACCCCTCTGTCGTTCGAAACTAGTAGAGCTTTTGTCAGTATATTCACGTGAGTAACCCGCGATTATTAGTTAATTTAGTATGTCACGATAGTTATTATAAATACAAACCATAACATAAAATTAAATGATGAAAAAGTTTTATTTAATTTTGGCAAACAAAGGAACTTGAATTTAGCATCAAATTAGTCTAAATCGTAGCAAATAGCTACCATGTTAGTATTCAACTAGCGTCGGCTGCAAGAACAGATTATACAATAATTTATTTTCTGACCTACAGCTAACTTATCTACTACGTGAGAGTCTGACTTGTCTAGCATATAAAAACAAAACATATTACAAAGAGTTGTTACTGTAAATAAAATAAAATACACCTAAGTTACATCTCTCATATCTCGAACGAAAGAATAGGTGCAATTGCATGAACGAGGCATCTACTTTCTTATACAAGGTGTTGTTTTAAAGCCGCGTCATTTTCCAGGAGGTTACTCTGATGTCAATTCTGAGTCCGAATCAATAAAAAAATTTATACATTTTTCATTTTTCTGAAATTACGGAAATCAGTAAGTGCGAAGTCGGTAATACACGCCGCCGTCGCGGCTTAACACACACAAACTCAAACACGTAATTGATATTATTCATTGCTGTCGCTTATTCTGAAATACTGTCGAACTTAAACGATTTATTATAGCTGTATTTTTACTATTGGCCCGAAATTTTCTCTTACATTGAACCTTTATGACTTCTGTGACATGCCCCCGAGAAATGACACGGTTTCAAAACTACACCTTGTATTAGAAGGTATAAGAAGAACCGACTAAGAGAGTACTCACTTCATAGAGAATGGGTAATCCAGTGCTTTCTGTCAAACCTGAACTTTTTCTAATCCAAGTATAGAAAATGGCTAATTTTTATTTTTAATGTCCATCTGGTAGATTATTTTAAAACATTAGACACGTATTTTTTATTTTCTTACAGAAACAAATACTTTCGACGATATATTGATTTGAAATATCACGTGACGTCACTTCTATGGACGTTTTAATCGTAGAAATGGCGTTTTAACTTCCACTCATAAACTTTGATTCGTTTTATCTAAGTAACCTTAGGTATACGACAAAATAAAAAATACGTGTCTAGTATTTTTTCATTAGCTAACTGACGGACTAAATTGATTTTTAATTTTCATACCCTGTCATCATCCCTCATATAGCAAGCCCTCTTATGTAGTCTGTATAGTCTCACGGTTCAGAAAGGAACTGTTATGGGCCCACGTGAAAAATTCCCATAAATAGGTTTTAGGTATACCTGATAGAATTTTTACATTATAATAGAACACTCTCCCTACCCTATTAATATATTTGGAACATGTAAAGGTTATATCCATTTGAACTAGAATAATACGTGTTCCGAATAATCAGTGTTGACCTCAGAAGCTGAATATTGTATTTATTATAAAAAGCGACCTTGGAATCGTTGCAAAGTTATTGCGTTTTCCAGCAAGGACTAAAAGGACATATTTATTGCAGGATATCTATTTATTTTTGTTTTTTGTGCTACATTGAATAATAAATTTATATTTAATGATTTTATATTGGAAAATAAATTAATGTTACCTACGATTTTTAGTTCTTGCAACACAGCTGTTCATTATAGGTAAAAGTTGATAGGTGTTGTTTTTTATCTTTTTTAAACGAGTAAATTATGATTCTTTTTTTAAATTTCTTTTGTTTATTTTTATCTTTTTTTTACGGAGAATTTTTTGACAGACTTGGCGTTCGTTAGGATAACAAATATTCTTTTTATAAATGTCATTCGATTTTTGAAATTTTTTTTAAAATTTTCGTATGGCTACTTGAAAATCTCAATGTAGTCCGGTATAGGTACCTATTGCTTACACTTGTAAAGTTATAAATGAACAGTCACAAAAAACGATAAGGTGAGTATTGTCAATATAATTAAATATTTTTTGCTTATTAGTGTTTGAATAAAACATTATCATATTAATATTATTATAATTAGTCTCAGTAGGTACATTCTATTTACAAATTAATTTTAATGTCACATTGAAGTCACATATTTGTCTAAAAAAAATTCAAGGATAAGAACCTTTACTTGATGAATAAGAAAAACTGGATGTAGGTACCCACCGAATGTTCAGTTATGTTGATATTACAATTATCGTTAGTATTATTTTCAATCAGTTGCGTTTTATAGTTAACCATGAAACTGATCAACTACATTCCTCGACTTGTTTCAAGGTACGATAGGGGTCCATAACTATAAGCAGCATGCGCGAAAACCGACGTGACAAAAGTTGCAATGTGCCGTACATGAGTACCTCTTGTGCGTACTGCTAAGGAGTGGATTCTTTGCCAGACTCTGTATTTCCTGAAGAGTATAACCTGGGTGTCTTCAAGGCCCGAGTGAATGGGTTGCTTATGGGCCCTAATGAGATGTTAAGCACGGTACCTATGTCCAGACTAGGCCAAGATTTTTCGATTAGAATTTTCTTAGTATGCGAGTTCTTGCATGCTTTATAGCCTAACTAGCTTTTACCCGCGGCTTCGCTCGCGTCACAAAAGGATAGAAAGTAGCCTATGTGACATATACCAATACACACAGTGCGATCTATACCAATAATTTCGTTTTCCCTCGAGAATATAATTTTTTTCCGGGATAAAAAGTACCCTATTATTTAATCCAGACTAATAACTTTACGTCTGCGAAAATTCAAAGCAATCGGTTTAGTAGTTACGGCGTGAAAGTGGAACAAACAAACAAACTCACTTTCCGATTTATAATATTATAGTAAGGATTGCAATTCTGTTATATTTAGTCTCGTTAATGGCACGATTTCAGCATAAAAATAGATCAACGATGATCAGCAGTTTAGGCGTTTAGGAAGTAAGATGCCACAGACAGAGAGACATCAAGTGACGTCACCCTTGTTGGTACTTTGAGGTTGATCTCATGATATTCAGTTTAGTAGTCGTACAGAACCTATTCTCAAAACTATAGGCATATTTAATGCATGGTAGAATTAAAATAAAATCAGTTTTATTATGTCTCTACCTACCTTCTAGAAACCAGTACTCCTGGTCGCTGATCCTCTTCACCAGCACCACGTCGCTATCGACCAGGATATCAGCATGAACTAGAGGTGTGTCATCGTCCTCATAGTTCAGAAGTAACCAACGGTATGGAGCTTTGAAGTAACCTTCTTTGCTAGCCTACGAACAAAATGTTAAGTGAATTCAAAAAATACATCTTTGATTTCGCAACTTCGCAACGAAATAAATCAAAAGACATTATTATTCGAGTAGAAGATATAACTAGTCTTCATTTCCCTTGAATTTTCTTGGCAGGAGATGGAATGATAGTTTTTTTGCGTTGTGTTGTGTTTCGTCCTGTGAGTGAGGTTACCGAGGGCCCAATTACCCCCTTCCTTCCCTAATCTCGCCCGCCAATCCTTTAATCTTTAATCCAATTTCCATCAATTTTAAATTCCTAATCCCCATAAGGCCAGCAAAGCACTTGTAACGCCTCTAGTGTTCCGGGTGTTCATGGGCGGCGAGAGTTGCTTACCATCAGGTGATCCGTCTGCTCATTTACCGGCTTATCCCGTAAAAAAGTAACATTGAAGTTATGCTCACTTTCACCAGAAACCTGTCAGTCCCTTCACACGTCAGGTCAGCTATAATCAAGATGTACTGCAAGTCATACTCTGTCCTATTATACTGCAGCGAGGTGGCAGTGCTGACTCCAACCTCACACATACTCTTAGCCAAGGATTTAAGAGCATCTGTAAAGGAAAAACACTGATCAAATTGATACTACATAAATATACGGAAAACATACTTTTACTGCTAGAAAATACATTCGTGGTAGATGTCCCACCGACACGCACGAAGCGCTTCGCATCAAGCTTCCTTGTGCGCACTGCTATGGAGTGGAATTCTTTCCTAGAGTCTGTATTTCCTGAAGGTGTCTTCAAGGCCCGAGTGAATAGGTTTCTTATGGAACGACGTGCTCCATCGTAGATCTCAACATCAGCCCGTCAAATATAAACAAAAATACAGGCTTTGTCTAGCAATCTTAAAAAAAATATTGTATTCGGCATTACGAGTTTGCGGCTACGCTGGCTACTGCTGGCCTCACCTTTCTTGTATAAAGCCTATGAATCTCCAACTATTACTACTACTCTTCCTGCTAGTACCTACTCTATTAAGAGCTTACTAAGATACTACACTTTTAATAGTGATCAAACAGCAGGGCTCTCAGATAAACCTGAAACTTTTAAACTATGATTTCCGACCCTCTTGGCAAGTGAGGAGATTATGGCTTAACTTTTTATGTAGAGGAGGCCCATAAGGAGGTCATTTGTCATACACTAATAGAGTTTACAACTATCACTCTCACTCTTTTCAAAACCTACACCACACTATCCTTACTTACTTTGTTTCCAACACAAAAACGGTAAAAGCAAAGACACAGGCCTCTCGTCTAACGTAACAAAAGACAAGATGACATCGAAATCAAAATGGATACTTTCAATATTTTGTACTAAAAAAACTAATGAAGTCAAAGTAAGAAAAATATGGACGTCCATATTTCTGAAGTGCTCTGAACAATGATAGAAAATGTATGTAAACGGGACAGGAGGTATATAAGGGGGTTATTATATAAACATTATCATTTAGTATGCAAGCGCGCTTCTTGTAAGCGCTGCTATCGAATTACAGTCACTGACAAAAGTGTTTTGTTTTGGTTGCTTGATAATTTTAGAAAAATATAACGAGGAATTATAATTCCCATTCAGACAGAGATGCACAACGTCCCCGGGTGATATAACAAAAAAAAAACGATGTAATTATCCTTAAAACCAAGTTAACAATACTGGCAATTGAAACTTAAATTATGATATTGAAAAATTTAACTGTGTCACTGTCAACAAACAATGCAATCAAATTGATGATAGTAAGTTACTGATGCTTATTACAACCTAGGAGGATAAGATTTGTTGAATAAACATTAAGGATTTTTGGAAAATCACCCGTCCACTAATAAGCACCCAGTTTCTACCAGTTGTCCAGATAGAATTTCCTATTGTTATATACCTATATAGAAAATACTTAGTAGGTAATGCTTTTTCAACCGACTTCAAAAAAAAGGATGAGCTTCTCAATTCGAGGCACCGACTTCTCACCTATCAGTGGGTGTGTAAGCTATAAGTACGTATGACCAATAATAGTAATTTTTGCATTTTTTTTACCTTTCGTTTGTTTTTAGTTTTTGAAGTCGGTTTTTTAAACGCAGTTTTTTATTTTATGGTATAAGCCGGTAAACGACCAGACTGATATCTAATGGTAAGTAATCGACGCCGCCCATGGACACCTGGAACACCAAGGCGTTACAAGTGCGTAACCGTCCTTTTGGGAATTGGGGATTTGAGGATTATGTGATTGATGCTGCGTCCGTCACGATACTTGAGTTCGAAAGTTAACAGAATATTTTCTGAAGGAGATGATAACATACCCTTAACACAACCACTAAGAATTTTAAAGACTAGGCAACTACCTAAGTATCTATGATATGTCAAAATTGGAATACTCAATACTTAGGTACCTAACAGTTAGCCCGTGTCCAGTGATCGAACCACAGACGTCATAGAAATCAATAGAGTAACTCAATACAGGCACTTGACGCAGTCCTTAGGCACTGCTATTAGTTAAAAATAATGGGAAAAACATTAGTCAACTAATTATTTTATTTATTTACCTGCTCATCCCTTTTTAGATTCTGCTAAATCTATGCAAAAAACGTACCCGGGTAATACAGTATGATCTCACTGTTTGCGTGTGTTTTAATATTGTAATTAAATTAATTATTAAAATATTCGTCATCAGCGGTCAATGTGGTCGTGGTCGTGTTAATAAAATGCATGGGTAGTGCTTTACCTAAATACATTGTATTAATTGTAAGAGGATGGTTTTTAATCTTGATGAATCAATTATTTCTCAAAAATATGTAGGTAACTTCTTTTTATAATTACAAATGTGAAAGTAATTAGGTACCTTATTACCATCGTTTCTTTGATCGATTCTTGACGTTCGATGTGAACAGACGTGCATACTAGTAATATTGAATCAAAGCAATAATAGTGACCTACATTATTATTCTGCTTATTGTGATACTTAGTTATAAATAATGGAAATACAAACTTAGTTGTTTCGAAGATGGATTTAAACCCGAGCAAGCTGGCTTCCTGTACTTCACCATTAAAGAGCAGCCGTAATTCTGACTTCTCGATACAAGCTGTGTCGACGCCCGATATTCAAAATTGGGTGTCAAACATTGAAGACCTGTTACATGAAGTTTGCACTATTTCCACAGAGGGCAAACTTAATTCGGACCAAAAACTTAAAATATCCAACCTGAGCCGAAAAATTGGTGCTGATGTCTCGCAAATGGCTGTCTTATACCAAGCTCTTAAGCAGCAAGCCCGCATCGCCGTCAACATTATAGATGAGATGAGAGAAAAGCAGGACCTTGTGGAACAAATTTCGGACATCAAGCAGACTATCAAGGATTCAGCATCAACGGGAAATGTTTCATTTGCTGACATGGTAAAGAAGGGAACTGACTTCGTGCGACCTACAAATCTGACTTCTATTGCAATTTACCCAGCAAATAAGTCAAAATCTAGCGATGAAACAAAATCTCTCGTGCAAAAAATCATACGCCCTGACCAATTGCAGCTACATGTGCGTGGTGTGCGTAAAATTCATAACGGAGGCGTTATAATCAGCACTGAGTCTAAAGAAGATGCTAAGAAAGTTAAAGACGCACTAGCCCTATCATCATCTGGACTTATTGCCGATGAAGCAAAAAAACGAAAACCAAGAATCACAGTTCTAGGAGTGCCGTCTGTTTTATCCGATGCTGATGTCCTCAGGTGCATATTTGAACAAAACATAGCTGGTAAGTTCCAAGAGTTGACTATAGAGTCTTTCCTAACAAGTGTGAAGTTAAGTCACAAATCTGGCAGAAAAGACGCGCCGACCTGTAATTACATCATCGAAGTTCCAGCCAACATCCGTAAAGCGCTTATATCGCAAGAGAGACTCTATATAAACTGGACGTCTTGCCCTGTCAGAGACTTCACGTTAGTAACGCGTTGCTATAAATGTCAGCAGTATGGCCACGCGGCAAAGACATGCCGGGAGCTCTACTCAGTGTGTGGTCATTGTGGAGAAACAGGACACATGACATCCGTGTGCACGAAGACAATCGACTTCCCAAAATGTACCACATGCTCTCGCTTTAACAAGCCCAACACTCACAAGACAGGAGACGCAGAGTGCCCAGCCAGGAAGATAGCCGAACACAGATATATCAATTCCATCGATTATGGAGGCGCATAAAGAGAAAATACTCGAAGTCGGAATTCCAATTCGATTAGTCATTTCGTTTAGTTTAGTTCACTTGTATAACAATTGCACACAGGTTGGCTTACTCAGCAATTTATTGCTGTCCAAGCACTTTTGATCTAACTGTAACAAGTGAGTGACCGTATGGACTCTGACCTAGTTTTTTTGTGTTTCTGCAGACGATCTAAAATAATTGATAGCCTTGTAACATGTATTATTATCTAGTTTATAAATGAATATAGCTTATATGATATTTTATTTAATTTTATATTAATGTATTATGTATGTTCAACTTTTTATTGTCCTTAAGGGAATAAAAAGCGTGATGTTATTATATGTATGTATGTATATAATGTAGTATATATTAAACAATCCTACCTTACTTCTGAAAATTGTGTTAAATATTTTAAATATACTATAAATAAGTTGTCTTATCAGTAACATATTTTTAGAGCTCATGTCGCCTGTGACACAGGAATATTCCTAGTATAGGCATATTATTTTTAAGATCTTGTCGCTTAATTAAGATATTTTTGTACCTATGTTGACCAGTATTCTTATGAATAAAAATTTATTATTATTATTGTATGTCTTTACCATTCACGGGACCACAGGGTCCCGGTCATTTGGGAGGCATGCGAGGGGCCGAAGCCAACTGCGCAGAGGCCCTTTAGACAACTTTAATATAAATGTAATGGACACACAAACCGGCGACTATCCCTATTATTATTATTATTATTGTTATTCTTTTTATATACTTTCTTGTATCTCCGGCAAGCCGGGAATCCTGATGGCACGGGCCTAAGCCAAGTGGCCATCAGCGGGATTTGGGTTGTGATTGTGAGCGGCTTGTGTTGGATTGTCCGACTCGCACTGAAGGAACTTTCTTACCAGTCTGCAGGTGTTTAAAATAGCTGCCTTTTGCAAAAGGTGGTAGGTGTTAGATGGTAGATTTAGAGTACTAAGGGACTGGTGAAGTTGTTTGGGGATTACTCCCGTGGTTGATATAACTATTGGGACAATAGTTACTTTTTGCAAACGCCATAGTCTGGTTATCTCATCTCTTAATTCTGTATATTTGGTCAGTTTTTCTGCTAAAGTGGTCTGTAAGTTATGAGTGTTTGGCACAGCTATATCAATTAAAAATCCAGTATTATTTATTTTGTCTATAAGTGTGATGTCAGGTCTGTTATAATGAATTGTGCGGTCGGTTAAAATTGCTCGATCAAAATAAAGCTTAGATGTGGTATTTTCTAGAACAATATCAGGACTATATTTGTAGTATGGTACAGCAGATTCTATCAATTTATATCGCTGGGCTAGTTTTTGGTGTATTATATTGGCTACTTGGTCATGTCTATGTTTGTAGTCGGTCTGGGCTATTGATTTGCAGGCACCGGTAATATGTTGAATGGTTTCTGGGGAACTATTGCATTTTCTACATGTATCGTTCGATAGGTTTTTTATAATATGTTTCCTATAATTTCTAGTCTCTATAACCTGATCTTGTATAGCTATCATGAACCCTTCAGTCTCTGGGAAGAGTTCGCCTCGATTTAGCCATGCGTTCGACGCTTCTTTGTCGACGTTTGGGTGGCATAAATCTTGGCGGTGTCTTCCATGTAGAGACTTTTGGGTCCATTCTAAGCATTTAGTTTTGTTATCAGTAACTATTTCGTTTCTTTGTGCTGTTTTGTCATTAAGATTTAGTGGAGTAAAGTGTCTGTCGATTTGTGTTATTAGTTTGTGTAGTGTGGAAGATTCCGATTTAGCGAAAAAATATGTCCTAAGTGTAGTGATCTGTCGGTTGTGAAGATTCAGAATATCTTATTGTTATTATTATTATCGTAGTTAGGCTTTAAATTCCGATGTCGTGTCATCAGCTTAGTTTACATGTATAGTTGATTGCTTAGTTAGTTGGTTACTGTTGAACTGCCCAAATTTGAAAGTCTGCTATGGTTTTCAAAGTTTTCACGGAAACCTTACTAAGTAGATTTGCATGGAACTTTTTCTTTTTTTTTTAGTTTGCTCTACACTAGAATTTTCTACTGTATCGTGGGTGCGTGACACCCAGACCAGAAACAACAATTTGTGGATCACACAAGGATTTGCAACGACGAGCATGCATTAAATATTGATGACTGTTGATGAAGCGAAAGAGCTATGTAGGAATCGTATT